GATGGTCTCTCCCCCCCCCACCCCGCAGCTCTGCCATCCACACACTGTTCTCAGCTTTCCCCCCCCCCACCCCCCCTCCCCGATACGTGACTTGCACGGATTTAGAAAGCAAAGTACACATCCTGGAGGCACACTCTGAGCCAAACGACAGACACCATCGTTAATAAACGTGAGAGTATCCCTCGGATATCTGTTTATCAAGTTCTCAAATCCTTCCCAAGGGTGCTCGCCAAAAATAGCCGAAAATTCACTGTGCAAAAATGCCCAATCCCAGACTATATTCCAAAAAAGCTTGCGAGCCTCGATTTGCAAAAATAGAAAAAGGGCAGGAGCGCAACGCAGTTACGCTTGGAGAGGGTTAACGGGATCCAGCCTCCTACTACAAACATCCACACACACGCACCCGCTCCACTCTCATCCATCCCACGTGAAGATCCGCAGCCTGCTCATGAAAACCATTATGCAGCTGCAAACCACAGCCCGGAATATTTCCAAACGGGCCTGAAACTCAAGTCCCAGACCCCATGCAGGGGTTTCGGCCACACCGACCCTTTCCTGCAGCTCGAGGGGCCAGCGCTGGCACCCGCGGAGCACACGCCAACCCAGGCGAAAGGCTTTTAAAAGGCACTTTAGTGACTGTTTGTTTTAAATCCAAGGAATCGTCCGCCCGTCACATGCGGCTTTATTGATCTACTCTGTACGCAAGGGGAAAAAACAAAACAAAACAAAAAAAACAACAATACAAACCAAACCAAACCCTGTATCTAGCTGACAAGAAAAAAAAAAAAAAAAAAAAAAGTAAAAATCCAATTGAGTTGGTATTTCCAGGACAGAATTACAGCCCTGGCTCCCTATCCTCCTGTCCCCGATCAACTTTTACACGAGAAGTATTGGCAGGCTCCTAGTTATAACTAAATAATGGCCCATCAGCTCTCTCCCTGGATTATACATTAACTCCTGGTTCTCCTGCAACATCTGCCCTCCTCTCCCTCCCCCTGGAACGTTGATCAGCTCTCCCGGGGGACACCCCAAGACACCCCAGCAGCACCCATCCGGGTCCTGGACCGAGCTCAGCCCCGGCAGAGGACCTGCACCCGCCACGGCGGGAGTGATGGAGCTGCTCTCTGCTCACGGGCAGATGTTTCTCAGCAAAACGAAGCCTCGAGGTAGAGGAGATGAAGCTGATTAAGCCTCATTATCCTACTTAGCGTCATGATGGCAGAGCCGAGGACGTCACGCAGCCGGGGAGCGGAAAGAATAGGCGGTTAATAGGAAACGTGAATGCACGTGGGCAGGCAGGTACGGCTGAGCTGATGTGCAGCCCACGAGGGATTTATTATCTCTCGCCACGGCCAGCTTGCCTGCTCCTCTCCCCTGCCCATGCCACCTCCCCAATCCCACCAGTGTCCTGTCCGTGAACTCCCACTTGCTCGGAGAAGCATTTAAGGGCAGCGATCTGGAAAAGGTGGGAGCGAGGGAGAGCTCCTGGAAGCCACAGTTCCGCTGCGCCCGACCCCAGCATCCCACCCAAAGGGCACCCAAAACCCTCCCAAAGGGCACCCAAAACCCACCCAAAGGGCACCCAAAACCCACCCAAAGGGCACAGGAACACTCGTGGGAGCTCCAACAGCCCCCCCCAGCACCGCTGGGAGAGGCCTCGGGGATCCGGCAGCTCGAAGACAAAGGCTACACACGTGCACGTGCAAATTCAGGAGCAAAAGCAGCCAGGAACCATCTGAAATCCAGAGTCAGGGCTGGACGCATCATCTGGACTCTGGTGGGATTCCTCCTGGAAGAGGGAAGCCGGAGCAAGAAACCCATCATGGAAACCCAATAAAACATCACACTCTGAACAAAACCCAGCCAAGTCAGCAGAGCTGCAAGACAGATTTGAAGGATGAGAATAGTACTCCTTAATTCCAGCATTCTTACGCATTATAGCGGACCCAAAATAGCTACTTGGCACTCAGGGGCCTACTGAACCGAGCAGTATTTTTAAGTAAACTCTCCCTCAAAGGTTTCAGGTCTTGGCATCAAAGACCCTCAGCCCCAACCCTTTTTAGTAAAGGCAACAGTGTCTCATCCATCTCCCCAATCACCCGCCCCTCTCCACCCAGAAGCTTCCTCAAATACCAGTTGAAAGCCACATTCTTATTTAAAAAGTAGCTGTAAGGTCAAACAGAGCGAAGGAAGGAGAGGAACCAGTTGTAGGACCCCCGGGGCTGGAGGGGGAAGAGACAAACTGGCCGTTCCTTAGTGGTGTAAGATATTCCAGAAATGATGGCAACATCCTGCTGCAGAACCAGCTCTGCCGCTGTGTCCCCAGCCACCAAACCCAGAACAGCCAGTAAAGACACCCTTTGGCTCAACACAGCATGGGAGAAGACTGTTAAGAAAATGAGGAAGAGCCCCTTTTTTTTAAAAAAAAAACCTCCTGAGGCCCGTTTCTGCAACGGTCCCACTCTCCAAGCACACCCAAATTGCCCCGCTGCGGTTTGCCATCCTCCACCAGCCCAGCGCTCCCGGGCCGGCATCTCCTCCTCCATAAACTCAGCTAAAGGATGAACAAACACGTTAAAGGCTCCACACAGGGAAACGGTGAAAGATAAAGATGTAATAGATTAGATCTGTCTTTTGTAAGGAATTTAATGACTACAGCTGTTCGGCGTCATTAGCCAGTTTGTCTCGGAGGTTTAACCCTCCCGCCAGCCCCAGCTCTCCCAGTGAGCAAACGCTGGGGTACCACTGGAGCCCCCCAGCTCCCAGGGGGGCTGCAGCAGGAGCAAAGCCTTGCTCCCTGCCCGGGGCAGCGGGGCTGGTGTGATAAGGAGTCATTAGAAGCTTTTACTACCTGTTGCTATCCAGCAAACCAATTATGGAGGAGCGCCAGGCAGAGAGAGCGAGCTCTCCGTGCAAAGAGCAGCCTGCTAAAAACAGATCCCTCATTCCTGCCCTCCCCACAGTCTCACCAGCATCCCTCCCCTGGCCAACTTTAAGTGGGGATGGGTGGAAAACCCAACCCGGAGATTTTAACTGGTTTAGAAAGAAGCAAGACTTGTTGGAAATGAAGTGCAACGGCTTAACCCTTGTCCGGGCAGCACTGGCTCCTGAGAGGGCTCCAAGTGAAGGAAGATGCATCACGAGCCAAATTCCCCTGCCAGCAGAGCCCCCCGGGGCAGCTCCAGACTGACCCGCCACTTGCTGATTTTTCATTTCAACGCATTCAGCTTTAACCTCTACCCGTGCTCCTTCCACAGCACCCCCTGTAACTTCTGGGTACCCTGTTCTCTTCCTCAAGCACCCCAAAAGCCCCATCCCCTGCCCGCTGCAGAGTCCCCGCCCAGCCCCAGGAGCCATCCCCGCTGCCTCTGGGCAGGGATCACGGGAGCCCCTCGCCCACCACCAGCTCTCCAGACCCCGCCCGAGTTATCCAAGGGAAGGACAAGCAGCATTTTGCATTTGCACAAACTTTAAGGGGGGCCCTTGCCAGCTCTCCGGCTGGAGGAGACACACACACCCCCCCCTACACACAGGGACCCCCCCCCCCCCCCTTTTGCAGGAACCAAATCGCACTGGGGCAGCAGCATTACCCACGGGGTGCAAACCCTCTGAGCTCAGCGTTAGCACACGCACCAGCTACCAGAAGCCCCGTGGGACAAGCGTGGGGTGGCACACGCTCCCCCACACCGGGAAAACAGCCGAGTCGAGTGAGAGGAGGCAACAGCTCCTCTCCCGTCAGCATCTGAACTGGATTTAAGGCAAGATATAATTGTATTTATATATATATATATAGTGCTGCTCCCTACAAGACCGTCGTCCTCACCACGGCGCACGCTGGCCGCCCTTGTCACCGCTCCATCCTGCTCTTTGCAACCCAAGAATCTCCCTCCTCCGACGCTCTTCCCCCCGCCACACGCTCCCATTTCAAAACGCAGCGGAGAAGAACGCCGGCCAGCAGGAAGAAGCAGGTTTTTGTGGTGCAACTGTTTATCTACCCTGTTGGGAAACATCAAGCTTCGGGCAGCTGATCAAATACATCCCGGGCCCCAGCCAGCACCTCGTAACAAGGGCGATCACCGCCATGGCCAACGCAGGCAAGAAACCTCAGGTTACCGAGAACAGGAGGAGGGGAAAAAAACAACAAAAAAAAACAAAACACAACCAGCTTCCCAGCTCCCGGCCCCCCCCCCTGCATCCTGCAAAGGGTTGGGGAGCCCCGAGAAAAGCCGGGGCACGGGCAGGCAGAGCGCGCGGCGGGGGCCGGGCTCTGAGCTGTCTGACACCGCTGTCGTTTCATTTATTTGCTCTTTACTGTAATGCAGCCACATGCACTAGAAGCAACACACCGTAATATCAAGCAATTTTCTTCGTAGCTGAGTGTTCTGAGAGGCTCAAAAAGTAAGGGAGCGGGGAAGGCTGGTGCTGCGGGGTCCCCTGGACGTTGGGGTAACCAGCTGTATCGCTCTTCAAAGGAAAAGCCTCACACTCCATACTCATAACCACAGATAACCCCCCTTTCCACTAAAATAAATAAAAAATTTTTAAAAGCTCTTTGGGAGTTTTTAAAAATATCCTTACTGACTAAGCCATTCTGATGTTTTCAGCTGTAAAAAAATCCAACAGCTTCCAATTTATTTATTTTTTTAATAATACTCTTCGACAGTAGGATGGGTTCATTCAGTCCTGAAATGCTTAGAGGGTTGGCAGCTCTGCAAATTAAACCCCTGGGCTGAAACAGAAGGTCACACCTGAACTGTCTGCAAAGTGTTGCCAGTTAAAAGAACAAAAGCAGAAGCGTGAAGGGTAAAAAAAAAAAAAGTGAGAAGGAAGAAGACAAAAAAAAAAGCACACAGCCAGCCTAAAGCTGCATTCAGCACTGGCAGAGCCACCCAGGGTCTTGGAGAAAACATGGTTTCATTAAATCTGTGATAAAAACCAACCTGTACCTGGCTTCTGTCGTGGAAGAGCAGAAGCCCCCCAGCCCAGGAACGCCTACTTACCAGCGCCGGGATGAGCAGGTCGGCGAAGTACACGAAAGCTGCTCCCAGAGCAAAGCCCACGGCCACTGGGAAGAAAGCGAAGGCTCCGAAGGTGCCGGCCTCCTCGGCCATGTCGATAGCCGGGGCCAGCAGGGACCAGTAAGAAGCGGCCAGCATGACCTGGGAGATAAAAGGGGAGCGGTGAGAACCACGTAGGCACCGATGCCACGAGGATGTGGCACCTCTGCCAGCAGCCCCCCCCCAGCTGCATGGCCCCTGCAACCCAGAGCCATCCAAACCCGCATCGCGAATCGCTGAAGGATGGTGAAAGTGAGGTTCGTCCCCATTTTCACCCATTTTCTTGGCTCAAAAGCCCCAGGCAGCAAATGAGCGAGCGACAGGAGCCCATTAGGGTGATTTGCTGTGGGATTAGCACGGCCACCACAGCCCTTGAAGGGCAGCAGAGTGGGGAAATCACCCTCCCCTCGGGTGTTTTGCAGAGAGAGGAAGGGATCCACGACCCTGCCAGCCGCCGCACCCCAGCCAAAACTGGGGTGAACCAAATCCGTCCTGCTAAAGTCCTACCGCGGTGTTTGACCAACAGAGTTTGCACCAGGAAAATAAACCTTTCCAGTAGCAGAGTGCTTTTTTTTTTTTTCCCCTTGCTTGCTGCTTAGCAGGGAGAGAGAAGGAACTGCTACCCAAAAAACCACAGAAAAACGGAATCTGGGATTTGTGGGGATCTCCAACCCAGCCCTGCTCAGAGCTGGTTGCTCAGGGTGTAGAGAACAGAAAGCCAAGCAAGGCACCAGTTTCACAAGCTTCTACTAAAGAACATAATATTAACATGCATTTTATCACCTTATCTCTTCCTCTCTGCTGCCTGACGTACTAGGCTGGGTTAATTAAAAAGTCATCAGCCCAGCCCAACGCCCTCAGCAGCAGCCTTGGCCCCTGTTTCTCTCCCTGCAGCCCTTCAGCTCGGCAGGAGCTCAGCTGTGACCAGCCCTGGGCACCGGTCCCATCACACACCGGGAGGAAGCAAGTCGGCGAGACAAGCACAGATGGCCTTAAAAAAAAAAAAAAAAAAAAAAAAAAATCACAGAGATCCATGTTAGGCTTCGGGAAACCGTCTGTGCCAGCAAGGGCAGGGAAACGGCAGCACCCACTGCCCTGCCCTGGGCAGACAGGGTCCTCGGTGCCTCGGGGGGTGGGGGGGGACAGGGTGATGCTCTGAGCTCCCTCCCAGCCCTGTCCACCAGCAAGGAAAAGCATCAAAGGGCAGTTTTCAACAGAGACAGGGGTGTGGGATCAGGATCCAGCAGGAAGGAGCGGAGCGAGCCCGGATAGAGCAGCGGGAGGGATGCTGTGAGAAAAGGTGACCCCATCCCTCCACCCATCAGCATCCCCCCCCCCCCCCCAAAAGCAGCACCCCCCCAAAGTGCCGTTTGCAGGATGCTCAGCAGAGATGCTGCTCAGCTTGCTCTCACAGCACGAGTGCTCGCCGGAAGAGGAGTGCGTAATAAACTATTACATTTTAAATCACTTTTAACAAAGGAATGAGATGCCTATTGCTGTAGACACCAGTCCCTGAGGGATTGTGTAAATCTCAGCTCGCTATGAGTAAGAAGCAAGCAGGCTGTCATGTCAGGCTTAACCACGGCTGTCAAACTTCATATTTCAAACGCCACCTCCTTTAAAAAACAACCACACACCCCAACATGGAAACACAAGCAACAGGGAAAGGCTTTGCAGAATCACATCGTCATCTTATGTTAAGATATCATTTCCCCACGGAAAACAGAGGCCTGACACTGCTCAGCCTACAGATCCCGTCACCACCGAAGTCAGCAACGGAGCTCCCACCAGCTTCGCCCTACACGGGCTCCGGGGGAAGATGATGACAGAGCTTTAAGCCACCTCAGCCTCACCAGCTGAAGGAGCAAACTCCTGGGCTGCAACAACCACCTTCACGTGCTTGGGAAGGAAAAGCGATTTATTCCTACACTCTTTTACCCAGAGGAAACCCTTGACCTCACTTGGTGGGGGAGCTGGAAGTCGTCACCCTGCAGCAGCCAGCAGAAGAGACAATGTCCCCGTGCCTCCCATCAGGTGTGGGTTTAGGGACGTGGGCTTGCCTGGGAGCAGCCAAGGTCCTGCCTAAGGGTGCTAGCTCCTGCCCACCCTGCTCAGCACCTGAGCTGGCACTTACCCCTCTGGTTCAGCAGCATCCCTCATCAGACGATGCTCATGAACTAACAAGAGGGTGAGGATTTCTGCCAGCGACCTGTTTTAAGTAACAAAAATCACACTCTATTTCAAATCTTGGTAATTGTCCAACCAAGGACAAGAACCCAAACCCCACCAATGTCACCAAGCAAGCTGGTGTCAAAGGCAGGAATAAAAGAGAAAAAGCCTGCCTGGGCTCTCCTCGGATCAATAAGACATGAAGCCACTTCAGCAGAGTACAATTTTCTGGACAAAGTCTTCCCCTCGCACCAGCCCCGCTCAGCCCAGCCAAGATGGGGAGCAGGGGACCCACAGCGTGCCGGCTCGCTGGCACCGGGACACGCGCCCACTGCCAAACTGCATTTGGACATTTTTGCAAAGAGACTTCGTGCTCCAGAGCCAAGACGCAACAACACCATTAAATCCACCGGCTCTTGGGAAAACAAGCTGCAGTTGAGCGGGGAGGAGAAAGCGTGCAGAAGGCAGCTGCATATCTAAAGCATCCCTGGGTTGCGGGGAGCCCGAACGCTTCCCTGCGATGCATCAGCATAACCGGAGACAAAACCCAGGCTCAAAGCCTGACTGCCTCGTGCCACGGAAAATGACTGAATCCAGGGCTGTGTCCTCATGCTGACGGGAAACCCTCAAAACAAGCCAGGCAGCAAGATTTATAACCACACCGTGCCCCAGCACCACTCCCAGGGACTGACGGGTCTCCATCGCTGATCCCCGGGCACCAGCACCTCCTTCCAGGCAGGGGCCCGATGCGGGTGCCCAGTCGGGGCTCTCCCAAACGCTGCGGTGCCAACACTCCTCCCCACCCGGGTCGTGGAGCCAGCACCACCCCAGTTCTGCTCACGCAGCTTCAGAGCTGCACAGATTTTTATTTTTTTTTTTTTTTTTTCCTGCAGATACAGAATAAACAAGGCAATGATCTTCATCCCCAGCCGCAGCTGGCCCTGCTGAAGCCCAGGGCGAGGGAGACAGTGCCTGTGCACCCAAGTTTGATATCACACCACTGCATTAAAATGAAAGCCCTCCTCTTATCCGCTACAAGCGGCAAATTCTCGTCACAATCCTGCGGGATCTCCGAGACGAAAACAGCAGCTTCAAGGGAAACAGCCACGTTAACGGCGTGCGGCTCGGAAAACCCAAACCGCTCACAAGCAAAGGAGATCCCCTTGGCAGGCCGGGAGAGAAAAGCAGAAGGTGAGAGACTGGCAGGAGACTTTCCCTGCCAAACTTTTTAGCTTGACTTCATTAAGGCTCCAACAACAAGAACCGGTCTCAGTAGACCAGTGTAAATTACTGCTGCTGTTTTTAGGCAGCACTGAAAGGGAATATTCAACACCAGACAGGTTAAACAGTGTGTCTTTATGAGTTTCTGCTTTACCTGGGACAGAAGAAGAAATCAAACTGCAACCCAGTAAAAGGAATAGGCAGGTGAGGCTGCAGGGAAGGACGGCTGCAAGTGTTTGTGTAGTGTTTATGATGCCTGAGAGCACAGCACCTCCAGGACAACACTGAGATAACAGAGAACATCTTTAAAAAAAAAAAAAAAAAAAAAGGTCCTATTTAAGATTATCAAGATTTAAGAGAAAAGCCAGAATTCCACATCAGATGCCCAAGCAAGCAAAGCCTTGTCTCCATGGAAACACATCACCTCAGAGGCTTTTGCATACAAAACCCTCTATTACCCACAATTTCCAGAAAGGGAACTGAGGCAGAGAGAAGCTAAATGCTCAGACCCCTGAGCGGAGGTACCAGGCTGGAAGAAGCTGAGCTCCTCAGCACCGCAGCAACCAGGCACACAGGTCCCCTCCACCCGAGAGGAGGCTCCTGCCCTCAGACGTGCTCGGCTGGAGCCGTGCCAAACGAGGATTTGGCTTCGCGGCCGGGATGCTCCCAGCACGTCCCAGCTCAGGGCACGGCAGTGGGACCGCGTGCCCGGGCTGACACCGGCCCCCCCCCTGCACATCTGCACAAAGGCAGCGCCGAGCAGCGGCTTTCTGGATCCCAAACTACCACCCTGCATCCCTGACCAGCCTCCTCAAAGCCGCCTGGACATCCCCGTCCCGTGCCGTCCTCCTCCTGGTTCAGCAGTGGTAGGGAAGTTTTTAGTTCATTCTGGTTTTATTTGCCTTCACAAGTTCCCAGAAGACAAGCAGGCAAATCATGACCATCAGGAGAGAGAACCACCCATCAGACCCTGTTTTACCAGCAAATTTGGTCTTGGAGAGCACATTGAACACTCCCTGGAACCCAGATGACTATCGGAGATCCCGAGCTAAGTACCAAAACAGCAAGGGTAGAAGCAATACCTGCCTCTGACAGTGCAGGAAGAGGAGGTTTGCTGGCTCTGACAGAGCACAAGGGAAGGTTAATTAAACCCAGCAGCCCAGATTTCAGAGCAGAGATAAAGAGGAAGTGAAGTTCTGCCTCTCTCCACCCAGTGCTCAGAGAAACCATCCGTACGTATCTGCGAGAGATCTGCATCAAAGACAGGGTGTCTGAAACAGAAATCCCTTGCTGCAAGGGAAGTAGTCCACGCTCAGGGCAATGCCACTGCCTGAAGAAACACTTCTTACAGGGAGGAAGAGAGAAAGAAAAACAGTACAAATAGGTTTTTTAATCCGGCTGCGCCGCGTCCTGCTGTTTCCCCTACACAAAGCCAGCCTGCCAAAAACACAGAGAGCCCGCGCTGCTGGTAAGGTTCCCCCAACACCAGTTCTGCAGCACGAGCCTGGGTGAGGCAGGAACAGCCCCTCATCCCAGTCAGACAGGAGGATTCCATAGCCCCGTGGGTTCCCTCTCCACTGCTCCAGCCTCAGGCTTGCAGCCCGCTCAGCTCCACCATCACATCCCATCACGTCCCAGCTCCACCGTCCCACTTCCCACCCCACGCGCAGGGAGCTGCGGGTCACCCACGGTCCCTCCTGCCGAAGGGCTGTCCTGAAAGGCCGGGTCAGGAGATGGTTTCTCCTCCAGCTTCTCTGTGGACTCTTTGCAAAACCACCAAGCACACACATCACCAGCGCTTTCTTTGTCTGCAGAGGGAGGAAAACACTTCTCACATAATTAAACTCTTTTGGATAAGGATGAGATGGACACTCAGCCAGGCAAGCAATTACAACACTGCCCAGCTAGGAAAAAGAAAAACTCTGGGGGATCCTGATGCCTGGGGGTAACATCCAGCAAACCCCCTCCTCCTCGACCCCAGGTTGCTGCAAGGGGGAGGCGTCAAGGTGCGAGGTGGAGCGTGGCCCTGGCAGGGGGATCCACCAGCCCCTCGACAGACACAAGGCAAAAAGCTACGGGCACATCTGGAGCAAACTGAGCCAAAAGGAAGATGAAAGTTCCAACCACTGGTGCTTTTGCCACGTCACCGCCACCCAAACGCTCGACCACGGAGCGGGAACCTGCTCCTGGTGAGCCCAGCAGCCCTAGAAGCAACAATCACCCACAGATCTCTGGCATCCTCCTCCGAAAGAGCCGGTCCCGGCCGTGCAGCATTAGGGCAGGGCTGCAGTGGCCCTGGGTGCCACAGGCAGCTCACTCCAACCAGCACCAGCTTCAGCAGCTCAGGCCTATAAACACAACCTAGAAACCTTCACAAATTGCAGCTCGTGGGTGGTTTATGTGGCAGCAACCTTCTGCCAGCGGAACCTGCCACCACGGGCTTCCTCGCTGACATTCCCCTCCAGACACCGCAGCAACCCCAGAAAAAGAATTCCCCTTTCCTTGCTCCGAGCACAGCAAATTGAAAGAAGCTGGGAAGGGGAGGGGGGGGGTGGAAGAAAAAAAAAAAAAAAAAAAAAGGCAAACATTTGCAGGACTTCTGCTTCTGCCACAGGGATGACTCAGTGCTCCTGGCAGGGTGACGTGGTGGCCGTGGGATGGACGGCACCCCGCCGTGCCAGGGCGGCACCTGAGCTGGGACAAACACCCCGCCGTGCCCCGGTGCCTCCCCAGCTGCGGGGCGGTCACGCCGGCTGCTTCGGGGGACACTGATGCCACAGCCAGGGGACAGCCCAGCCCACGCTGTCCCCAGCACGCGTCTCCCCGCCACCACAGAAGCGGCTCCGACTCAGCTTGCAGGGATGAGGGTGTGTCTTCCAGAGAAAAACAGCCCAGAAATCAAACCACAGAGGAAAGCTCTGGAATGGCCAATACCTAACGCAAGTGATTCATCTGTAAACAACGGCCCAAGAATCCGCTACAACAGACAAGTTGAATTAACGACATCATTAGCAGGTCACAGGCACGCTCCAGGAAAAGCTTGCTAGGGAGCAAACCGATCTTTGTAGCATTTCACGTCACCCACCACGGCAGGCTCTGGCTTGCTGCAGCTGAGTTTGCTTCAGGCAGTGGGAACAGCAAAAGACCTGCGACCTCCCGAGCAGCAAACGGTCAAATTGCACCTTGAGTAGCGGCTCTGCAACGTCGGGGGGGGGGTGCGCGGGGAGGAAGGAGCCCCACTCCACGCACAGCTTCGGCACGAGCGGCGTTACGGCACGCTGCGGGACAGATCACCCGTGCTGCCGGGCTCGTGGGGCACCCCAAATCCTGGCAGCGTCGCCCACGCTCCGGGGGCTGGGGACACAGTGAGCAGGACCTGGCAGAGCTCTGAGCCCCAGCACAACCCCCCCCCCACGCCCCGGGGAGATGCACCTTCCACCCAGAGCACATCCCCGGGGGCTCTCAGGCACGCTCCAGCACCTGAAGGAAAAACAATCAAGTAGGACTGAGCCTCCACCTCATCACCCCAGCAACTGGGCAGTGGCGGGGTTGGGGGGGGTCTATATTCACGAGCCCCAACACAATTTCAAGCCACACAGTGTCACGACTTCCTGCAAGAAAGATGCAGTAAGCCCCGTGTTTAGTGCGCACCTTTGATGGAGGGCTCCAGTGTCTTTATTCCCCCTTCTCCCAAGGGCTTAAATCACCCGTGCTCTGCAGGAGAGCAAGAAGCACAAGGCAAGCCATGCACATCAGCCTCCAGGACGAGGGTTCTCCTGCTCGTCATCACACCAGAGTTCCAGGAGCAATTCAGAAGCCCAAGGAAATGGGAGGAGTAACTCAGTAGAGCCAAATCCAGCGTGGGCAGCTCGACGTCCTCGTGCCCCTTGTTGTGCCACCTCCATCCTCACCAAAGAGGCACCGAGACACAAGACGTGACCGGCACCACCCCGTGCTCTTCCCCATCCCACCTGCACCTCAGGCAATTATCCAAGAAACACTAACAGGAGAAGGCAACCAAATAAAGTGTGACGGGGCTTCAGAAGTGTTGGCAGGAGAACACAGGCAGAGATGGGGAGTAAAAGGATGCTGTACTTACCCCCGCGGCGAAGCCTAAGCTCCCATCTAGGATCCGCCTCTGAAAAAAAAAAAAAAAAAAAAAAAAAAAAAAAAAAAAACACACAAAACACATGATTTATTCCCGGCAGAAGCAGCGGAGCGCAACCACACCAGAAACCACGCAGAGGGGGAAGCCAGCTGCCACACTGACACAACTTTCTTCTCCCCGTTTCTGCAACCCGAGTGGTTTCTGTGCTCTGAGGCAAAAGCCGCGTTTCTCGCGCAGGGGAACCCCCGGTCCCAGGGTGACGGCACCCCACCATCACCAAGAGCATCCTGGCTCCCTCGACCCACGGACACTGCCCAGCCTGGGCTCGGCCCATCCAGTGCCCACGCCAGAGGATGCAGAAAGGCAAAGGAGAAACCTGTGCACGCTGCCCTGTATTTCCCCCCCCTTGAAGATTTTGATTCCTCTAAGAACAAGCTGCTGTAACCAAAGCCATTTCTCTTGTAGTCACCCAGCACGCACCCTGCCCACTTCACTCCCAGCACAGTTTTTCTCCTTTAACACATCGCCCCCCCCCCCCCCCCCCCCCCCCCCCAGGAAGAAAAACCAACGTGCTACTGCAAAGGGAATCTCACTTTGCAACAAACCCCTGAATAAATCATCACAAGAGAGAGGCATAAATAATAAATCCATCTGGGCAATTTTGAACACAACAGCAAGGGGGAGGCCGCTAATTTTGAAATACAAGGCGACTTAAAGATCAGCACTTTGTTCCGAGCGCGGGCTAACCCGAATCCTGGAGATGTGGCAGCAAATCCAAGTTACGGGAAGAGAACCTGCTGTTCCAACCACAGAGCCCTGCCTGCGGCTCTGCCCCATCTCCCAAACACCGTGAGCTGTGCTACGGCACATACCACAGCCTGGCCTCAGGAATTTGATTTCCTTCTCTCTTGTTTGGAGAAATTAGATTTTTTTTTTTTTTTTTTTTCTCTCCTTCTGGCCCAGGACCAACGTCAAGTCCCTCACGCTCAGGACCTGGCAGCCTCCCTCCATCCCGGGTTCCGTTGGCGTCTCGGGGACGGGACCCCAGCACCCACCTGCCCGCTGGAAAACACAAACACCAGCGCTGAGCCGGCCGCCGTCAGCCCCCAGGTGAGGAAGGTTCCCAGCACTGCCTGGACCACCGGCCCGTGTCCCGGGATCATGCTGACCTAGGAGAGACGGGGCACGTCAGGAGAAGCGCTTGGTGTTTAAAGACAGAGAATAACCCCCCCAAATTCCTCCTGGGTTAACAAGGGAGCACCCCAAACCCCCCCACACACACACACCAAAGGGGACAGAGTGAGCTTAAGCATCCTCCCCGAGCTTCTCTCTTCCCCTTAAGTACGGCTTTCTGGTTTAATCTGAGCTCAGAGGAGCAGGAAGGACAGGATTCAGCACATCCCAACCCCACGGTGATTTTGAGCGGGAGAACCGGGTAGAAACGGGTGCCCAAACCTCGCCGAGCGAGGGGATGCCTCAACCCACGTCCCCGGGGCATCGCGTCCCGCTTCTCCAGTCGTGTCACAAAACCCAATTTGAGTCGAGCTGAAAGGCGAACGCCCCCGCAGCACCCGGGACCAAGCAAAAAAAGGGGAACGAGTCCCAGGGATGGGCCACCAAAATAAAGGTCAGGGGAGCAGCACCACCAAGAAAACACAGGCATGTGTATATAGACATATCATACACACGCATTTATAAGCAAATATCTCAAAACACGCGTGTATTTATACATAAATATATAAGAAATACACACATGACTGCCTTCTTACCCTCCCAGGCCCCCGGCCTTGCACCAGAGGCGCTGCCAAACCCCGGGGGGGTGGGTGCTGGGGTCAGACCCCCCTCACACGGCTGCCCGGCCTCGGGGAGAGGGAGACCCCCCCCCCCCCTCCGCACCCCAAGCTCCCCCAGTTCCCAAGGAGGGGGGACACCCCAACACCCCCCACCGGGCCCCCCCCTCCCCAAACCGTACGGCAGGCACACCGGCGCCCTGCACCCCCCGGGCCCTACAGCCGCGACGCTGGGCCCGGGGCTCCGGCAGCCCCCGAGCCCGGGACCCCGGCAGCCCCCGGGCCCGGGACCCCCAAACCGGAGCCCCCCGCTCACCGCCCGGCGCTCCCCGCCACCACTTCCTGGTGCCCGGCACACGTGTCGCCGCCCCGCCCACCACCGCGGCCTCGGCCAATGGGAGAGCAGCGGGGGCGGGCCGCCCGCGGCTCTGCGTTTCGAGCGAGTGAGGGGAAGGGAGAGTGAGGCGGGCGGGCGGGCGGTGCGGGCGGGCGCGGCAAGGAGTCGCGGAAGAGGAGCTGTCGCTGTCGTTGTCACCCCCGAGCTCGACGCATCCCCCCCCCCCCACGGCAAGATGACCCCCGGACAGGGCTTCCCAAAGTCAGTTTCTGGTCTCTGTGTGCTGGGGTACCCTGAGAGCAGCCCTTCCTGCCCCCCAGCAGCTTGTGAGTGTGGCCCTGACATCAGTGCAATGAGCTCTGCCCGTGCTCTGCAATCAGCCGTGCTCATTAACAACCAGAGGCTGCACCTTAATGATCGGCACATGGCAGCCTGCTGGAAACAACCCCCCACCCATCACTGCTGTCACCCCCATCCTCAGCACGGCCTTCAGAGGGTGCGTTGGGCGCCGCTCTGTCCTCTCCCACCCGTTGATGTCCCCCCAAAGCACCGTCACGGGGCACACGGTGGCCAAACCTGTAGCCCCGGATGGGCTGGGGGGGAGAAGCAGCTCGGGCACTGATTCCTCCTGGCAGCTCAGCAGCATTGGCAAGAGGGAGAGGGGCTTTACGCCGGTGGCCACGGGGCTTTGGGGCTGGCTGGTGCCTCCTGCTTGTGCCACAGCAGGAGGCTCAGGGGGTGGCAGAAGGACACATCCAGCTCTTTTGCAACATAACCCTCCTTTATTAGAGTGTTTATCTTTTAACAGCCTTTGATCAGCCTCCCCTGCCACAGCTGGGAAAGGTCAAGGCCATTTGAAACCTCCCTGATTTAGGATTTAATCAATCTCCCCCTGTAATTGCCTCCATCCTTCATTAGCTCCCGTCACAAGGCAGATGCAGCACGAGGGGACAGCTGGGAGGGACGCAGGGACAGAGCAAACAGAGGTCCCCTGGCAGGGCTGGGGACACCGTGGTCTGGGGGCGGCTGGCAGGGATGTCCCCCGCTCGGGGACGTGTGGGCGGCCCCGGGGCGATGGGGACAATCGTGATGGCAGTGCGGCGCCGTGCAGAAGCATCAGCAAAAATCAATTCACACACTCCGCACCGTTCCCCGGTGTCATTGCGGTGTGCAGGGACACCTCCACGTCCCCTTCCCCAGGATAACAGGGCTGCCCCAGCACCAGCTGCTCCTCCTGCCATGCAGGGACTGGGACGGGGCCCGGTCCAGCCCCGTCCCCACGCTGGACAGATGGAATCCCCCCCTGCTGCACCCCAACACGGGCAGGCAAAGGCAGCGCCAGGGCGGGCTGGCAGCTCCTGCGTGGCCCCCGACTGCAGCAGCACCGAGAAGGATGAGACCAGCGGTCGCAGCCATGACCTGGAGTCTCTGAATTGCATTTTAAACCAAAAAAAGGGGCACAAATTCTTGTGCAATCTCTCACATTAAGGTGCGTGAGACGCTTCAAGGGGCGGCATGGCAGTCCCAGCTCCAGGGAGCCCTGGGGCCACCGGGCAGCCAGGATCCCAAATCCCTTTTTCTTTTTTTACAGTAAAACTCCTCAGACGTGCCTCTCGCCGGGCACGGCGCTCGCCCCATGTCCCCTTTGCGTAAGCTGGGCGCACGGCCGGGCCTTTTCCCAACCCAAACCCATCCGTGTCAAACCAGGGCAGTAAACGGAGCCAGCCTGGACCCGCACCAAACCGAGGGACCCAGGGCCACCCCAGGGGACAGGGCAGGGGAGCAGCGCAGCACCGCAGGCAGCGTCACGCCATCGCCATCCCACGAGCTAACGGCACCTGCGGGTCCCAGGGGACAAAGTGACAGCTCTACGCTTCTCCGCCGGCTTTAGGCTCCCCGTGAGAGACACGACGGCCGCGGCGCAAGGCTGGGGGAGCGCGGAGCCCCGCCGGCACCGAGCCACGACCCGCGGCTGCTCGGAACAGGAGGGGACACGAGTGCCAGCGGGCCGGTGCGTGCCGTAACTCACGCCGGCATTTCAAGCCTGCCTGCCAGACGCGGAGAGCTGTTAAGTCCCGATTTAATGCGAGCGACCCTCCAACAAACTAGGCACAGCGGGGAGAGGCACGGGCAGGCGCAGAGATTTCGGGCCGTGGTTGCCAAAGGCTCATTAGCATCAGGGGTTTAGCGATATGATTCATGGGGAATGTGTGCGGCAGCTTTCGCGGCAGCCCAGCCCCGGTACCCTCGGCAGAGATCAATAAACTAATTACGGAGGCAAATAACAGCAGGGCCAGAATGGGAGAGGTGGGAGAGGGAGGAAGGAGCTGTTTGCAGGGAGGTCTGGCGGGAGCGGGAGGCAGCCCCCGGGGAAGGAGCCTTGTGCAGGGGGTGGGGGGCTCTGCAGCCCACGGCACCTGGGTGCTGTGGGTGCGTGGGGATGCTGTGGGGATGCTACCGCCCGCCCTGGCCGCAGGTGAAGGCGCCAGCATCCCTCCCTCCCCATCCCTCACCGCTGCAGACACTGCCTGATTAGATCACCTCCAGCCAGCCCAGTTCTGCCCTGCCTCCGGGCACGGGGAGATGGTCCAGGCCTGTTTGTCTGGTTAATTAGCAGAAAGCCAAGCCTCCCCCCATCCCAGGCATCCCCGTAATTGAGCCGGGCAGCCTCCAGCCAGGCGTCAGCGGAGCCACCAAAGCCGCTTGTGGCTGTTGGGCTGGAGATGGGAAGGGAAAGGACGGGGAAAGGGCAGTGTCACCCCAAGTGCCCACGGGAGAGGAAACACCACAGTCATCTCTGCCTGTGCTGGGCCTGTCCCTACAGCCCCGGGGGACAGCGGGGTCCCTCCGAGGGCAGCGTGCTGGGGAGGAGCAGGCTTGGGCACGGCTGCCCCCCATGCGTTCCTCGGGCCGGCACTGTGCCCTGGGACTGGGGACAATGACGGGGCCAGCGAGGCATCACTTTGCTCCCTGCAAAGCTCCTTCCCACCACGCCATGGAACACTGCAGCCGGGCACCCAGAGGAAAGGCGATGGGAGGAAGCTTTAACCCCCACGGACCAGTCCCCCAGCACAAACTGGGGGGGGGGGGCAGAGCAAAGACTCGGCATTTTTGCCATCGGTCATCGACAGAGGTGACGGGAGAGACCAGCAGAAGGGCTGTGGGCAGGGACACTCCTGAGACAGAAACGGACGGGGCTGAGACAGGCAGGGCATGTGCGGGGACCCCGTGGCACCCACTTGAGACCCAAAAGTGGCCCCACGCACCCCCATCCCACCCCCAGCAGGCTGCGGGTGGGAGGAGCACAGGAGGAGCAAACTGCAGGGCGAGATGCACTCAGGGGCAAATCCTTCCCCTCCCGACCGCTGGGGAAGAGCCGCTGCCTCCCAGTTCCCCCAGTTGCCCTCCACCACCTCACAGCGCAGACCAGAGGGTCCCACTGGTCCAACACAGCTGCCTTAATTCCTGCAAAATGCTGGAGATCTCACTGCCTCCCCTCCCTGGATCGGGGAGAAAGGCCGGCTCACCCTACCCCTCCGTTGGCAACCAAACCCCCAGCTCCTTACAACACTCGCTTCCAGGACAGGGGTCGAAAGCGCTGTTTTCCACGGGGAGTCTTGCAGAACAGCTGGGAATGGATGGCAGGAAACTTGGAAGGACTTAAAAAATCCCTTTGTGGTCACGTAATCCCCATGCCCCTCTCCCATGGGTTATATATTGGCCCTCGAAGCCGTGTGGGAAGAGGCTGTGCATTTCTCCTATATCCAGCCCTGCCAGTAAATTGCTTTTTAGCAGTGTGGATGCTTCCCAGGCTAAAGGACAAAGAGGAGTGTATCTGCCAGCACCAAACCAGCTGCTGGGGTACAACGTCTCTCTGAACCAGGGACCACCCAGAGATACAGAGCAGACTCTACACTAGCCTTTAATTCAACCCTAAATCTAAGCAGAATAACAAAAATATCTTCAAAAGGCTCAAGCATGGCTTCCTGATTCAGCTAGCTGCTGCTGCAGTCCTTGCTGGATGGGTACCAGCTCAGATCAGCCCCTTAATACACACCGGCCCATCATTTCCTGAGGTTTGGGGTTTTTTTAATGAAGATCAGATCTGGTTTTAGCCAAATGAGCTTGCTGGCTGAATTCACACAGCTCCCTGTCCCCTGCATCCAACGCCAGCTTCCCACGGAGGGCAAAGCGAAGGGCAGAGGATGCCCAAAGCCGGGATGCTCCGCAGGCAGCTCCGAGCAGCCCCACAGCCGGTGAGAGGCATCCCGGGACCCCTGCACTTGCCCCGGGATCCCCACGCTCGCCCTGCCCCGGCCACCCACCACTCCAGCCCCCCAGCACAGCGGGAGGACCACGCTCAGCACCACTCTGGGTGCTGGGAGAAACCGCTGCGAGCCCAGGCTGGGGGTTGGTCCCAGTGCCAGGGTGAGGGAGGACCGCGGCACGCCGACCTGCCACCAGCAAGACTTTCCAACCACGGGGACTGTGAGCCGAGGGACCCCCGGGGAGGGATGTGGCAGCGTCACCAATTTAGGGGAGAAATTCAAGGAGGCAGCGCTGGAAAGGCGCACAGCAAGGCTTGATGCTGCCCCTCCCGCTGCCGGCTGCCAACACGGCTTTGAGGGAAGGGCACGGTCAGAACATCATCCCCCCCCCCCCGGGGGGCACTGGAACCAGCCGAGAGAGGATAAAACAACTGTGAAAAGGTCACAAGACATCAAAACCCACTCCTGCGCCACGCCGGTGGGCTGCACTCCCTCCACTCTGGTGTCGGGGAATATCTCTGCTCTGCCTGGAGCGGCATTCCCGGGGCTTGCACGGGTGACACGCAATGGGACACCCCAGCCCTGGCGAGCAGCACCCCGCAGAGACCCCATCTCCCATCCGCATCACCCAAACCGTCTTCTCCCCTATCTCCTCGCCCACTGTTACTGGGATATGAATTTCCACGTCGTTTCTTCCAGGAGAGGCTTTTTCCAGCCTCCTAAAGGTTTATGAGGATGATTGTGACTGTCACTCGTGGTCCAGGAGCCTGTGTCTTCAGATCTACCTTGGGAAGTGGATGGCTAAGTGCAAATGAGAACCTCCCAGCCCCTCTTGCCGCAATCAGCAGCCTTGCTCCGGGCTCTTTGTTCCAAGTCACTCTTAATTTCCTGCTTTCTATTGTTTCTTTGATAACTGATGGAAAGGGGGTGTGTGGGGGGGGAAGGAATAGCCATTATTTAATTGCTTTCAAGATCTCAAACAAACCAGAGCAGAGGTTATCTCCCCCAAACCTCTCTTTTTTGGTCTTCCTCCTCCAGTTATTGTTACTGGGTAACTGCAGAGGGAGAGGCTGTGGCAGTGGCCACCCGTATTGCGCAAGTCCCCAGAGATCCCCAAGCCCTGGGCAATCGCCACCCCCCCTTCTCGCCTCCCCCAGGCTGTGCCAAGCCACCAAGGACCTGCCTGTGGCTGCAAGGTGCAAAACCCTGGGGCCAAGGTACTCTCAGCTTCCCGGGGGAGACTTGGGGACTCTCAAACACCTTTTGAGTGTCTCCAGGAGGAAGACCAACCCCAACATCTGCATTCAGCTGGGGTCACAGCGTGGCCATCGTGCTGCCATTGTCCTGCCCCGTGGCCCTGGGGATTTCAGGAGAAGCCAAGTCGCTCTCACCGCGGCTGGAATCAGAATGTGGAGAACCCGCTTCTGCAGCGGGAGCCAGGCAGCAAGGTCAAGGTCATGCAAGGAAGGTGAAGGAGCCAAGGGGCGTGGGGCCCTGCGGGGATCTCTTCTGCTGGGAGCCCTGTGGAGCCAGGCGGGTCCTGCCACGCTCTGGAGGGGGAACCAGGGTCCCTGCACCCACGCTGCTGGGTGCACAGCACCTCCAGCACGTGCCCCCGGGACCCCCCCCCACACACACACCCTGAGTCCCTGGTTTTGGGCACCCTTGGCTGAGCACCAAGAGCCTCTGCGAGCGGGAGAGGCTCCGCACCCAGCACAAAGCCTGGGACCGCGTGGGGAGGAGCAGCACCCAGAGCTGCAGGCAGCCGGGGTGCCCTGCCTGGCTCGGGGGGGGCTGGCAGGGCAACGGGCACGGCGAGGGGGGTGGGCTGAGGGGAGTGAAGTGGCAGAGGGGGGGAAAAGGTGGGTAAAGGAGGGTAGAAAGGGAGCAGAGGGGGACAGAAGGGGGCAGAGGGGGGCAGAGGAGGGAAGAGGGGGGGCAAAGGGGGGCGGAGGAAGGTAGAGGGGGGCAGAGGGTGGTAGTTGGGGGGGTAGAGGAGAGCAGAGGAAGGTAGAGGGGGACAGAGGGGAGTGGAGTGACAGAGAGGGGAAGAGGGGAGCAGAGGAGGGTAAAGGACGGTAGAAGGGGACAGAGAAGGACAGAAGAGGGCGGAGGGGGGGTAGAGGGGAGAAGAGGGGGGCAGAAGGGTTCAGAGAGGGTAGAGGGGGGCAGAAGAGGGAAGAGTGGGCAGAGGGGAGTAGAGGAGGGAAGGGGGGGTAGAGGGAGGCAGAGGAAGGTAGAGGACTAGAGTGGGGGGCAGAGGGTGGTAGAGGAGGGAAGGAGAGGTAGAGGGGAGCAGAAGGGAGAAGAGGAAGATAGAGGAAGGTGGGGGGGGCAGAGGGGAGCAGAGCAGGGGGGGCAGCGCGGACAGGGCTGTCCCCGCCCCGGCCCCGCAGAGCCGCCCCACGCGGGGCGGGGCGCAGCCGGTGCGCTGGGTCCAGCGGCGGAGCCGCGGCGGGGACGGCGGGTGCGCGGAGCGGTGCGGAGCGGAGCGGAGCGGAGCGGTGCGGGTACCTCCCCGCTGCCCGCCGGGCTGGGCCGGGAGCAGGTGAGCATCGCCCCGGTGCCCCGGGCAGCATCGCCCCGGTGCCCCTCGGCGGCTGCAGTGGCGGGGAGCGGAGGGATGGGAACCGGGGGGCTGCACCCCCCAACCCCAGCTCATCGTCCAGGGGAGCCGGCCGGGCTCGGGGTGCCCATCCCGGGTGGTGGCCGGGAAGGAAGGGGCCAGCAGCCCACCGAAAAGCGAGGCAAGGGAAAAAGGGTTTTTTTTTCTCGGGTATCAGGAGCGCCCACCCGGGACTCACCGGTTGGATTTGGGGAGGACTCCGGTATCGCCAGAGTCGGGAGGAGCTCTGGCGTGTCCAGCCTGCTCGGCACCGCTCGGGCTCCGCAGGGGAGATGGGGGAGGTGGTTTGGGGAAAGCCCCTCTGGGGAGCACCTCTCCTACGGAGCCTGGCGGCAGGATGGGCGAAGCCCCCCCAGGAATCCCTTCATTTCTATTTATTTTGATTTCTAGAATCTTCTCCTCTCTCCCCAGAGCAAGGGAAGATGACATCTCGGCTCCTCTGAACCAGCAGTGCCCAGGGACTAGCAGAGCCATGGAGCTGGAATACGAGCTGCCCAATGCCACCGCGTTCTGGTTCTCCCCGGCTTCCCCCTTCGACAACTTCTCTGTGGAGGCGCCCACCAACGCGTCGCAGAACGCCACGGGCCAACACTTCGACCTGACCAGCAACGCCATCCTCACCTTCATCTACTTCGTGGTCTGCATCGTAGGGCTGTGCGGCAACACGCTGGTGATATACGTCATCCTTCGTTATGCCAAGATGAAGACCATCACCAACATCTACATCCTCAACCTGGCCATCGCAGACGAGCTGTTCATGCTCGGTCTGCCCTTCCTGGCCATGCAGGTCGCCCTGGTTCACTGGCCCTTCGGCAAAGCCATCTGCAGGATTGTCATGACGGTGGATGGGATCAACCAGTTCACCAGTATCTTCTGCTTGACGGTTATGAGCGTTGACCGGTACCTGGCTGTCGTCCATCCCATTAAATCTGCCAAGTGGAGGCGGCCCAGGACAGCCAAAATGATCAATGTGGCCGTTTGGGGCGTCTCCCTGTTGGTGATCATGCCCATCATGATTTATGCTGGGGTGCAGCATAATCACGGCAGGAGTAGCTGCACCATCATCTGGCCGGGAGAGTCGGGTGCCTGGTACACAGGCTTCATCATCTACGCCTTCATCCTGGGCTTCCTGGTGCCTCTCACCATTATCTGCCTTTGCTACTTGTTCATCATTATCAAAGTCAAGTCCTCGGGCATCAGGGTGGGTTCCTCCAAGAGGAAAAAATCCGAGAAGAAAGTCACCAGGATGGTCTCCATCGTGGTCGCCGTCTTCATCTTCTGCTGGCTCCCCTTCTACATCTTTAACGTCTCCTCAGTCTCCGTCCTGATCGTGCCCACGCCTGTCCTCAAGGGCATGTTCGACTTTGTGGTGGTCCTCAGTTATGCCAACAGCTGTGCCAACCCCATCCTTTATGCCTTCTTGTCCGACAACTTCAAGAAGAGCTTTCAGAACGTCCTCTGCCTGGTGAAGGTCAGCGGCATGGACGAGGCGGACCGGAGCGACAGCAAGCAGGACAAATCCAGGCTCAACGAGACCACAGAAACCCAAAGGACCCTGCTCAATGGTGACCTGCAGACGAGCATCTGAGAGGACGGCGGGGTTGTCCTTCCTTCGCTCTCCTCTCCTCGTGAGCTCCCAACTGCAGCAGGGTGGTGGCACGTATGGAGTCGGGGCAGAAGTGCCAGCTTAGGGGACAGCGGTGCGCACACCGATGGGTGGGGGGGGTCCTCAGCTGGTCCCCTCCTGAGCTGCTGGTGGGTTGGCTTTCAAGCACTGGGAAGGATATGGTTCAAGAGGAGCTGCCTCGCTAGGAAAACAAAACCAACTTGTAGCAACGCAGCACGTTTCAACACCAAAGTGCCACCCTGGGCCACAGGTATCGCCGGGGTGGCTCCGCTGGCTTCCCCGGTGTTACTCTCGGGGCTGGTTGGCTTTGGGTGCCCTGCCCCAGCACGGGTGCTTGCACGTGGACACACAGACGCAGCGGGGTGACCTCGGGAGGAGCCGAGGCCACGGCTGCGTGCCACCACGGAGATGCACCTTCTGATAGCAAAGACCTGGTGGGAGCTCTCCGGAGAGTCCGAGCGCTCTCCCGCGGTCACCCTCCCCGAGGACACAGAGATATTTGGGGTTGCATTTTGCCCGGCTTAGAAGTTACTCCATCGCCTCTCCTGAAGCCTCCCTGCTGCTGTTTGACTGCATCGCCCAGAGGTGACACGCCAGGACCAGGATGGAGGTGGCTGCCCCATGGGACACAGCTCTGCCGCCCTGGTAGCCCCTCTGGTCTCACCCTGCCTCCTCCGGCCCCGCCATCTCCCGCTGCAGGAGAGCCCCTTCCCTCCCGCCGCTGTGACGTCACCTGCCCGCAGGTTTTCTCCTCGGATGGGGGATTTCCCCCTTTTCCCTCCCGAGTAGCCCCTCCTGCCACCCGCATCTGCTCTGCGAGCCGGCTGAGCAGCCACGGCACGATCGCCCGGCACCGGTCCCTGGTGGGAAATCCTTGGAAGCGTTTAAGCAGCAGCGACGCACCGGGGGTTTGGAGCACCCTGGCACGGGCTGCGGCACATCCCGTTGCCAACGGCTCCCGCAGCTGGGTGAGATCTGGGCTCATCCTGCCCCGGCCACGGCTCCGAGGATCCCTGGCCCGCGGTGAGCAAGCGTCAACCGGCCACCGGTGACACTGCCCTGCTCCTTCCAGGCAAGTTGTGCCGGAGAGGATGGGGGACGGGAGGTGGGGGGTGCTGGGGGCTTGGCCCCGACCCTCGTCTGAGCCGAAGGGACCGGGCAGAGCAGACGACAGGGCTCCCAGCACCAAGGCAGGAGGAAAAACAGGGCAGTGGGATCACGAGGGAAAGCCCGGGGTGGGGGGAGAAATGCCACCTTCCTGCCAGAGCACCCAGAGCAGTTTCTGTGCCAGATGCCACGCTCCCTTCACAGGCTCTTCCCCGGAGCCGAGCCGTGGGAACGCAGCGGTTTAGGTGGAGAAAACAGCCGAGTCTTGCTCACCCTCCCCTTTCCCATCCCACCTTGGCCTCCCCATACCAGCCCCATCGCCGCGGAGCCTTCACCTCGCGCTGTAAGCGATGCGGGAGGTGAGGATGAGCAATGCCCTCGAGGTGCTGCCCGCTTTGGGGTGCCACCTTGCTCAGCCGCATACCCCCAGTCGATGCTCCGAGACAGCACCAGCTCTGGGAGAAATTTTCCCCTGGCTCTGCCCGGCCCCTGCAGCCAGTCTCTGACCATCCTGCTGTTCCACCCCAGCATCCCCCCCCGCCCCCAAGCCCCCCCAAAAGTGCTCAGTGCCAAGCTCAAAGCCTGCTCCCCCCCACAGCTCTGTCAGACACCGGCTCCAGCACGGGCAGCACCGGCACTGGGGACCTTGCTGCAGGGCAAAACAGAGCGTTGTCAGCATTTATTTGCTTTTAACTCTTTACTGCTCCTCTGAGGAACGTTTGCCTGCTCGTGGGCTCAGCGCTGAGCGCGGGGGGGGACCCGCCTGTGGCCTCGCTGCCTGTGCAGGCAGCTGCTCACCGAGCGTATCCCTGCACCGGCTTCGTTAAGTGGAGTAAAGCCAAACCCAGGCTCCGAGACAGCGCAGGCTGCCCTGCTGATGCTGCAGGAATTAAAACACGAGCAGCGTGTCACGCTACGGTGAAATATTGGATGGTGATGGCCGGGCCTTGTGCAGCCGGAGCTCTCTGGTAGGATGAGGATTCAGAGTCACAGCTGCAGCGATGCGTCAGCGGGGCTTTGGGTCGTTTGTATTTGGTGGGCGGTGAAGGAGTTATTTGTGTGGAAAGCAGGGGAGGCAGTGGGGAGGGGGGTGCATTGAGCCCCCCTGCCCTTCATGGGAGGTGATGTTTCCACCCCCCAGCACTCCCAGACCTGCCGGCAATCCGGCTTCGCCCCGGGCTTGTCCGTGCAAGCCCCCCCACCAACACACCAACCGGTGGCGGGGGGAGATGCCTGTTCCTGGGAGCATCTCCTCTCTGTGCGGGTTTAATGTTGAAAATGCAGAAAGCCCAGCTTTCTAGAGCCCTGGGAAGGACCCGTGCCCACGTCAGCTTTGTCCTGGCAAAACCCCCCAGGCAGTGCCACTTCTGGCAGCTCAGAGATGTGCGAGGGGGCCGCGATCCAAAATATCCCGTTTCCCCCCAGCTTTGCACCCAGGGGCTCTCTTGGGGTGGGGAGAACAAGGCTGCAGGTGAGGAGTGAGAGGAGTAGCGGGGCTGCCACCGGCGTCCCAAAGGCCACCAAGGTGGGATGTTGCGGGGCAGGAGCAGGAGGCAGCTCCCGGGGGCTGCCAGGGCACCCACGGCCACCCTGGCGCGGCTCGCCCCGGGGGAAAGGGCAGGAGAGCGAAACAGGCTGCCTCGGTGCTCGCAGTAAAACCAGCAAAATAAAACCTTCTAATTGTCTGTTGCTGCCTAAGAAACAGCAGCACCATTGCTGCTGCGAGTAACAAACTTTTCTTTCCCAGCCACTTGATTTTAGTGGGAACTTGACCTCATATTGGATCTGTTTGGAAAAGCCTCTCAGGGCTGCTGGCGGCATTAATGAGAAATCTCTCCCAGTTATTGCGGAGCGAACAGGCTGATCCTGCAAGTGCTGGAGTGGCTCCGCCGCTACTTCCCATGCGGACTGTCCCCGGGCAAGCGGAGATTCATTACAGCTCCCTCCTGCCCGGCTGGAGCAGCGGGAACAGATTTATTACAAATCGGAGGCGCCGGGAAGCAGAGACCTGGGTGTCCCGTGGAGCTGCCCGGCACGCCGGGAGCAGGGCTGGCGGCTTTGCTGCGTCCACGGCGGCACTGACCTGCCTGGGGCTGGCACCCGGGGTGTTGGCAGCGGGTGGCTCTTGCAGGAAACACTCTCAGTCCCAGCACCCACGTGCCCCCCCAAAAAAGCCTGTGAGAAACCAACTCCCTTTCCCCTCCCCGCCACCGGCTTCCCCCCTTGCAGACGAGGAACCCCAGCAAAGCCGAGGGGCAGCTCTCCCGAGCCTCCGTTGGGATTATCCTTGCTGTCCCCACTTCCTCGCCCCTCGGGGCAGGGGGGGGGTCGGGGGCACAAAGCCTGGTGCTGTGGCTGGGCTGAGCATTGCTCCGGGCTTGCTTCTGACCGTGCCCGCCTTGGACCTGGCACAGTGATGGCCAGTGCCCCCCCCGCCCCGGGTGCTTGGTAGCCAAGCTCTGCTCTGACAGGTTGGGTTTGGCCCTGGAGCCTTCCTCTCACATCTCTACAGCCCCTCATATCAGCACCAAAGCTGCCTTGGACTGCTTTAAAATAATAATCTCCTAATGAACCAGGCTGTCCTGTCTCTGGAGGGCTTCCTGGCTCTCCATCCCGACGGGAAGAGCCTTGTCTTTGCTGGAGACTCCGCGGAGAGGTCTCTTCCCCCCCAGACCTGCACGAATGCAGGCAGCCTCCCAGGCCATCATGCAGCCCCCAACCAGCTCCATCCCCTGCGGCGAGAGCTCCCAGGCTCCGGATCCGTAGTGCTGCTTTAGAGCAGGGCTCAACCCTCACATCTCTGGGGGTTGTTTCAGCCCTTGCTGTGAACAAGCTGGTTTCGACCCACTCAGGGAGGGTTGCTCCAGCCCCATGCCCTGCCCAGAGCTGCTCAAAGCGGGGAAAATCGCCGCCAAGACACGAGCAAAGGGCACGGCAGACCCCAAACCAGCCATCCCGCCACCAGCTCCGAAGTGAGAGCTGCCGTTTTCCAGCCCAAGGACAACCTCTGCCCTTCCCCGCCAGCCTCCGTCCCCCCCCCAGCCTCGCACCCGTGTCTCCCGCCAGCTTTCTACCCGCTCCCCGCTTGCTCCAGGACCTGGGCTGCCAAAAGTCGGGGCGGGAGGACGGCCAGGCTGCAGCGGCGACTCGTGGGAACCTGCTTCAAGCCACGTCCTGACCAGGAGACGAGGGACACAAAGCCTGGGCACCCCAGACATCCCACCCCATGCTGCGTGGCCAGGAGGAGGGAAGGGGCGGGTGATTGTACATATATGTATATACTGGACGTGCCAGCAAAAGGTTTTATTATACTGACACCGTCGGGACACTCTGCAGCCCGTTTGGCCGTGGCTGCTGGAGCAGCCCCTCCCCGTGCGCGCAGGAGCCGATCGGACCCAACCCCTCGGGGTGGGGTCCCTCCGTTCCCACTCGCCCCCAGACCCCGCGTGCCGTGGGGCTGGTGGCACCGCGCACGAGCCACGGAGGAGGCTGCTCCCACATCGACAGGTGACTTCCACAGGGCGAGGGGAAGGAGAGCTGTCGCCTCTGCTAAACGCAAGAGCCTTTCCCTGCCTAGCCAGGGCTGTAGCAATCGGGGGGTCGTGTGTGTGTGTGTCCCCACCCAGCAGCACTGCACCACACTGCCCACCTCCTGTACGTATGTACACCCCTCTATATCTATAGCTGTGCTCTGTATAGTGTGCGTGGGTCTGCTGTATGACACATTGTGACTGAAAACACGCCGGGGAGCGTTTCCCCGCTTTAAGTCTTGCTTTCCTGCATAGCAATTGTTTCTCGGTGTGGATCTGAGCCTTCCCGCAGCGGAGGCTCCCGGCCGCCACGGTCTGTGCCGCGGGGAGGGAGTCGTGGATGGGGTGGGAGGGAAGTAAAAAGAGTTTTCCTACAGTTTCTGACTCTATGTGCTTATGTCAGAGCTGGGTGGGAGCCGTGGGGTGTAACCCAGGCTCGGATTCTTCCCTGGGAGAAGAGGCACCAACTCTGGAGACAATTCGCACTCAGGCCCTCTCCCAAAACCATTTCTTCCCCGCATCCATCTCCCCGTCGGCGAGCAACGCAGCCGGTTCTTCCCCCACGGGGTGGTCTCAGCTGTGGAGGGTCCATGCAGCCAGAGAGCTGCGTTTACCCCCAAAAAACCCCACAAGACCGCTCCCCTGGTCAGCACAAACTCGGGACACTGAGGTACAGGCACGTCTGTGCCAGTGCCAACCCCGAAACTGGATGGGTCACAGAGGAAACACAGCCACCAAGAGCTCTTCGAGTACAAGGGGTCGCAGAAAAATCGGTCTGAACAGTGGGATGGGAGAACCTTCTCTTCCCGAGATGGCAAAACCTCCGCGCTGGTTTTGATGAGATCAAGGGCATGGAAAGTGCCATGGCTGGAGGTTTGATTTGCTGGAGAAACCAGCACAGGGATGGGGGGGGGGGGGATGCTTAGAGAAAGGGTACAATACTGGGGAAACGGGCGTAAAGAAATTGGCTCGGCTATAAACTGAAATTTCAGCTCTGAGCAGCTGCCCAGGCCAGCTTTGCCATCAACACCTTCCATGCAAATAAACCCCTTCACTCCAAAACACCTATGATTTTTTTCATGCCCCTCCCCAATTTGCAACACAAACTGGGTTTTTTTTCTGGGATTTGAATACAACCTCTACCAGCAAAGCCCTAACAGCTTCTCCCCCAAGACCACACGCTCCGGTTACACCAGCATCTCCCGTAGAGCAGCCCTGCCCCTCGAGATCTGCCTCTCGCAGGGGAGCGGCAGGGAGCCGGGGCAGGATTTTCCTCCAGGAACAAGCATTTGTAAGAAAGCAGTTACCACGCTTATTGCTACACTGAGTTGTAGCTGGCTGAGTCAGCATTAGGTGCTTAACAGTTACGTTGGCTCCAGGGAGTTCTTCTGATCAGATTTATATATAACTATACGTACGCATGAGTATGGGCACAGAGAGATGGCTGTGGGTTTCTGCCAGAAAATATTAAGTCTTTACACGAAGGCTGATGTGAGAAAGGCAGTAACTGCCCAGGGAAGGTTTTGCAAACAAAAACCAGGGCGTGCTGATTTCATTCTGCCCTCCGCAGGCTGAGAATACACAGGATGATGGGAAGCACTGGTATTGCAAGTCGGAACTGCATAAAAAAAAAAAAAAAAAAAAAAAAAAAAAGAGAAACAAAACACTGTTGAGAGGGGCTTTTTTGTTTCCAGTGGGTGCCCTCCAGCTGTGCCCCCCAGGGACACACTTTTGCTCAGCGCGATTTTGCCAAACCTGAGTAAAACCACCACATCAGATGGGCGTTTCGCAGACAGCGTTTCAGGGGGTAAATCTTCGGCGCCCCTCTGTTTGAGAGAGCCCCCCGCAACTGCCAAAACCCACCCGGGGGAGAAGCCGGGGCTCGGCTGGGCCCCCCACCCCGCAGCTCCCCCCACCTCTGGGCGCAGGGGGCAGCCGGGCCCCGCCGCCCACCTCGTCCTAGAGCTGCCGGGTGACGGTTTGGGGTTGCGGCGGGAGGGTCCCCCCGGGGCAGACCCCGCTGAGGGGGGAGGCGGGAGCCCCCCCCGGGGCTGAGGCAGGGCCGCGGCCCGCTCCTGGCTCCTCGCCTCCGGAGGGGCCTGCCGGGGTGTGTGGAGCGAGAGCGGCACCCGCAGGACGCGAGGACCGGCCCGTTTCCTCAGCAAACGGACCAAAAAAAAAAAAAAAAATAAAAAAATTAGAAATTAAAAAAAAAAAAAAAAGCGGTGTTTTCTCCACCCCCGCCGCGTCGCCATGGCAACGGCACCTGGGTGCGGCTCTGCCCTGCACAAAGATGGCGGCGCCGCGCGCCCGACGCCGAACCGGAAGTGCCCGCCCCCTTCGCGTCGCCAAGATGGCGGCGTCCAGCTCAGCAGAGCGGCCCGGGGCGGCCATGGCGGCGCGGGGCGCGGAGGCCGAGGCGCTCTTCGAGGCGCACACGGCGGCCGAGCTGCGGGCGGTGGAGCGGCGGCTGCGGGCCGGCATCGAGCAGAAGCGGGAGGAACTGCGACAGATGGTGGGCGAGCGGTATCGCGACCTCATCGAAGCGGCCGACACTATCGCCCAGATGCGCCTCAGCGCCGAGCGCCTCTTGGGCGCCGTACGGGGCCTACAGCGGGGCGGCGCGGCCCGGCCCGGCCCCGCGGCGCCGGTGAGGGGACCGAGGGGCTGCGACGGGGCGGGGGGCGGCCCCGGAGCCCCCCTGACCCCGCTTTTTTTTCCCCCCCCCCTCCCTTCCCCTCCTGCAGGCCCAGCCGCCGGCTCAGGAGAGTTTCTACCGGGCGGCGGCTCAGCTGAAGCTGCTGCTGGACGTCCCCGAGAAGGTGTGGGGTGCCGTGGAGGCCGGCCGGTACTTGCCCGCAGCCCGGCTCCACCTGCTCGGTGGCCACCTCCGCCGCCAGCTCCAGCTCGACGCTCCCCGTGCCCGCGGCAGCCCCATCCTCGCCCGCTTCCCCATCCTGCTGCGGCAAGTGGCCGCCGCTAGCCACCTCAGGTGGGATGGCCACTGGGGAGAAATGGTGTAACAAGGCGCGGGGGGGGGGGGGGGGGGTTGGGGAACACTGGAACGTGGTGGATACCACATTATTGGAAGCGGTCAAGGTCAGGTTGGATGGCAGGGGGTTTGGGCAATGTCACCTAGCAGATTTCCCTGCCATGGGTTGGGCTGGATGACTTCAGACCCCTTCCAACCCAAACCATTCCCTGTGACCTGAGACCCCACTGCTGCCCCGAGGCTCTGGAGCCACAGGGCAAGAATGTCTCGCCCAGTCCCGGAATGCCCAGGTAATCCCACTTCTGTCTGGGGAAAATAACACCCTTGTTTAGTGGATTATCACATAACCGCACCTGAATATCTCAGTCAAGTGACTGTCCACCCCATTCCCTCCCCAGATCCACCATCCTGCAGGAGAGCAAATCCCTGCTGAAGAGCCAGACCGTGTCGGACCAGGCGGTGGCAGAAGCCCTGTGTGCCATCATGCTCCTGGAGGACAGCTCTCCACGCCAGGCCCTTGCCGACTTCCTTCTGGCCAGGAAGCTGGCCATCCAGCAGCTTCTCAACCAGCCACATCACGGTCAGTACGACTGGGCTGCCCTCCTTTTTAAAGTCAAGGTAGCCCCCTTCACATCATCCCCCTCTTGCCCCGCAGAAGAGTGGGTGGGTTAGTCCCATAAAGCTCATGATGGTGGGGGACGCAACCCTGTCGTGCTACTGCAGCGGTGTGGCTGACGCTGCTGGCAGCATTTTGCCCCAGTGGCTAATTGCCACAAAAATTAACAGTGCTCAGGGTCTTAAACCAAGCCCCTCTGTAATGGGGAAGCAGGTGGTGCCTGGGGCTGAGTCCTTTGCCCTCCAGCCCTTCCCCAGAAGGTTTCAGTAGAACTGCAGCCCCTAAAACACAGGGCTGCTCACACCTCTGTTGAAGGGGCTTCCTCACCTGAAAGGCATTTCTCTGCAGGTGCAGGTATAAAAGCTCAGGTGTGTTCCCTGATGGAGCTGCTAACCACCACCCTGTACCAGGCTCATGCTCTCTTCTACACCCTGCCTGAAGGGATGCTGCCGGATCCAGCCCTGCCCTGTGGCTTGCTATTCTCAACCCTGGAGAGCACCACAGGCCAGCACCCAGCAGGTGAGCGCCCAGGCAGCTCAGCATTAAGCATCTGCAAGCAGGAGGTCACCCTTGCGCTGGGCTGATCCCTGCCCATGTGCTTCCAGGGAGAGGTGGGGTTCTGGAGGAGGAGGTGAAGCTGAGCAGCTGGTTCAGGTACCTTCCAGAGTCTGTGGTGGAGTTCCAGCCAGCCCTGCGGACCCTGGCACACCCCATCAGCCAGGACTACCTCAGAGACACGCTGCAGAAGTGGATTGCCATGTGAGTGTGACACTGTCCCCCTTCGCAGGGCTCTCCCAGACACCGCACGGCCCCTGTGCCAAGGCAGCAACCCAAAGCAAACCCAAACTCACTTAATTTCTTACTCCAGTCAGGCTGTGGCTTCTGTGGCTTCTTGCCCAGCATCCCCCTCCTCAGCAGTTAAACAACCAGAGGCAACATAGCACCATCCTGACAGCCAGGCTGCAGCACTCTGACAGAACAGACCACCTGGGCTGCACAAAGATACTTGTTTAGAGCTGCTTTATGCTACCATAACTACCAGCAAATAAGCACAGAGTAAATAAGAATAAAATCCCTTACCTGGTTCACTTGGCTCTTGATGCAGCACTTCCTTCTTCCCTGCTGCCCTTCCCTAGACTGTGGGGGGAGGCAGCCAGACCCCTTTTATAGAGTTGCCAGCTCCGCCCCCATCCCACTCTGCCCTGCCCTGTGGATGAGGACAGCCTGGCAGCCTTGTCAGTCCTGTGTCATTATCTGATGGAGCCAGCTGGTCCCTGCTGTCAGCTGGAGCCCCCCATGGTGTGCTCGCTGGCCATGGGATATTTCCCCAGCAACCCTTCCCAGAGCCCCTCCATGCCTGCCAGCATCCCAGGGGGGACCGTGCTCCCAGCTTCGACACCCACCGCAGCCCAAGGGTCCCACCAGTGGGCACGTGGCTTTCGTGTGGGGCCCAGGGTGCAGCTGCCTCACCAAGAGGCAGCAGTGCCCTCAGCCCCGCAGGTGATTCTGCAGGCAGAGCCACTTACCATCAGGTTAACAGCTCCCCCACCCTGATGTAGCCGACGTTCTCTCCTGCTTTCCCCCGGGGGCTGCGTCTGAGCAAGTCAGACCGAAGTGAATCGTCGCTTTCAGGTGCAGTGACGACATCAGGGCCGGGGTCAGCAACCTGCTGGTCTACGTGAAGAGCATGAAAGGCCTCGCAGGGATTCGCGACGCAGTGTGGGAGCTGCTCACGAGCGAGTCCGTAAGCCAGAACTGGGAGGCGGTGTGCCGTCGCCTTTTGGACAAACCTGCTTCCTTCTGGGAGGACCTGCTGCAGCAGCTATTCCTGGACAGGCTAGAGGTAGGCGCTCTGCCGCGGCAGCTCGTGGGGAGCTTTGCTCTGTGCCCCCTCTTGCTCTCTCAAACGCTCCACTGATGCCTGTTAGCAACCCTAAATGTGCATTTTTAAGTGCTAGGTGGCAGGAAGCGCATCTAAAAAGTTTTTTTTTTGACTTCTGGTCCTGTTCCAGACGCTGACCAAAGAAGGGTTTGACTCCATCTCAAGCAGCTCCAAACAGCTTCTCACCTTAGCCTTGCAGGAACTTGACCTCAAATCCAGCACCTCCGCCTTGAGCAAGCCCATCCAGTTTGAACACAACGTGGCCCTGTTCCTGTGGTCAGAGAGCTCCGGTGACCTGCCTTCTGACGCTGCTTGGGTCAGCGTGGCAAACCGCGGCCAGTTCGCCAAGAGCGGCCTGTCCATGAAGGCCCAGGCGCTCACGCCGTGCGTGCAGAGCTTCTGCTCGGCTCTCGACTTGAAGCTGCAGGCCAGGTTGGACGACGTCCTCTCCTACCTTCCCGCAGACTCCTCTGCTGCCAAGGAGGCCGCTCCCGCGCTGCAGCCACGCTCTGCCTTCGACCGCTACGCTGACGCCGGCACGGTGGAGGGGCTGCTCCGCGACCGCTGCGTCGCCTGCATCCACCACGTGCTGGGCTGCGTGCTCAAAGAGCTCCAGAGTGCCCAGAGCCTGCTGAGGGAACAGGAGGACGCTCCCAGCAATGCCAAACTCAACGCTGTCCTCTTCATGGCGAGACTCTGCCAGTCCTTGACCGAGCTCTGCCCTCACCTGAAGCAATGTATCTTGGGCCAGGCGGGCAGCACGGAGACGGCGCTGAAGGAAACCCGCTCCACCAAGAAGCTGGGGAAGGGGAAAGCTCAAGAAGTGACCCCCGTGCAGGCCAAGTGGCAGGAGGTGAAGGCAGAGCTCCTGCAGCAGAGCCTGTTTGCTTACCAGATCTGGAGCTCAGCCGTCACCAAAGTAAGGAGCTGTTTCTCTCGTCACAGCTGCTTCCTGCGTGGGTTCCGTTGGCTCAGCTCGCTGCGGTCAGCGCTGCTCCTCCTCAGCTGGCTGCTGAGAGCTCGCCGTGCTGCTGCCACGCTGCTCGAGCAGCCTGCAGGGAGAGGAGGTGGCATCCAGGGGGACAGTTTCCAGAAGAGTCACTTGGGGAGGAGCGGGGGGATGCGGGAGGTTGGTCTCTGCGGGCAGGAGCAGGCTGGCTGTCCTTTGGTACTGTCCCGTGAGCGGGTGCTTCTGTGTTTCACGCTCTAGGGTCTGGTTCAGTGCTTTACCCGCACGTTGCTGCTCGACACAGCTGGCTCTGTCTTGGCCACAGCCACCAACTGGGATGAAATTGAAATTCAGGAGGAGACAGAGTCTGGAAACAGCATAACGTCCAAGATCCGGCTGCCTGCACAGGTATGAGAAACGTCCTTTCAGTAAACACAGAGGAACAGTCTGCTGGCAGGAGAAGAGCACCAGTTTCCAAAACCACTGCTTTGTCAAACGGTGCTGACCTGCTGTGGAGTTTGCTTGGTGTCACAAGCAGAGGGCAAATGCTCTCCAGTGTTTGTATTTGCTCTTTGAGGTACTCACCCGAGGTCAGCGGAAGGAAATTAGATAGTTGCTGCTATATATTCAGACGATTAAGATTGTCCTGTAAAACTGAGCCAAAGGAGGACTTATGTTTGGTTTAGACAAGCTCGGAGGAGACAGATTTCATGGAAATCAGATGCTCTGAAGGACAGGGCTGCAACAGAGGGACTGTGGAAAGCCTAAGAGAACCGAGGCTTGCAGCTTTCCACAGGCGTGGTGGTGGTGCGGGAATGACACAGTGACAAAGCAGGTGGCGATGGCACAGAGGGAGAGGAGGGCCAGGGCAACAGTCTTTGGTGGAGAACCTTATAAGGTGAATTTTGTTGATCCCAAAGGAAAAAGCAGCTGAACGATAGCTCAGGGTAGCTGGGAGGCCCAGGAGAAGAGCGAGGGAGTAAATAACGAGCCCAGGTAGTGGGTGGTCAGAGCAGGGTCAGTGGTGACAGAAGAGGCACAACAAGCAATTTTGTTGTGACTGCACTCAGGTGAATACCTGTAGTGAAAGTACTTGAGGGCTACTATAACCAAAAGTCTGGTGTGTCAGTCAGCAAAACCCTGTGAGATACTCGAGCCATGCTATGGGGGCAGGTGAGTCTCAGCAGCAGAGTTTTGTGGGTTTTGAGGAAGTAGGAAGCTCACATCACGAGAACTGAAGTGATGTTGCGTCACTGATAAAGCCAACGTAGCTTGCAGACCACATGAAAATAACACAGTTTTCTTCAACAGCCGTCCTGGTACGTCCAGTGCCTCCTCTTCAGCCTGTGCCAAGAGGTGAACCGGGTCGGCGGGCACACTCTTCCGAAAGTCACCTTGCAGGAGCTGCTGAAGACCTGCATGGCAGAAGTGCTTGCTGCCTACGAAAAGCTCATGGAAGAGAAGCAGGAGAAGGTACGTGAGTGGGATCAGCCCTCGCTGCAGCTGGCGTGGGGCGGGAGGGCCGCTGGGCGGGCGGGGATGCGTACACTCCTGTCCCTGGGAACAGAAAATGTCTGCCTGAGAGTTGGGAAGGGTGAGTACATCCTTCCCCTGCCTCCCCCAAAAATGGGAAAAAAAAAAAAAACGGATCAGACACCAGATTGCGTGCACAGAACGGTTCCGTTAAGTTGGTTGTTTCTTGGTGCTGATGTTTTTCGACGGTCCCCCCGAAGCAGTCCTTTGACAGCCCTCTCGCTGTGAGCGGAGAGCCCTGTTCCTGACTCTTCTATTTGCAGAGAGCAGGCACCTTCCCCATGACCCAGAACAGAGCTCTGCAGTTACTCTACGACCTGCGGTACCTGAGCGTCATCTTGACGGCGAAGAGTGAGGAAGCAAAAACCAGCCGGATCAAGCATGACTCCAGGTGTGGTGCAGTTCTGGGGTTCAGATACTAGCAGTAGTTTGGGGGGGGGCCTAAAATCCTTTAAACCGAGAGGATGCCTGCGGGAGTGGTGCCTTTGGGCCTCGTGGGAGAGGGGCAGTGCAGACCCTGACGTCTTCACTGACATCAAACTCATCCTCCAAATACACGAGGGCTGGGATTCTGCAGCGGAGAGCTCGGGGCCAGCAGACGGCCCGAGGATGCCCCTGAAAAGAATTGAAGCTTCCACCTAAGAGTTAAATAAACCCTTGTGTATGCTCCGGTCTTGAGAACTGAGGCATCTCTCTCTGAGATGTACCGAAGGGAGAAGGTTCCTCTGCAACAGCAGATGCTCTAGGCTGTACAATAGCTGGAAAGCCTTTAGGCAGCTGCTATTCTGCTGAGTAATTCCCGTTTTTCTCAGTCCCTCGCTGTTTGCTTGCAGGATCGAGAAGGTGAGCGACTTCCTGGAGGGACACATAGATCCGTTTGACCTGGATGTTTTCACTCCACACCTGAACAGCAACCTGAATCGCCTGGTTCAGCAAACCTCCGTAAGTGCAAGGAAGAAGGAAGGGATGGATCAGGAAGCAGGGCTGCAAAACAGGTTTTGAAGGGCAGCTGGGGTGGCTTTATAAACTGCTTAATGCCTAAAGATAACTACTGGCACTTAGAAATGGGAAGTATTTAATGCCAGCTGAAGATAAGAGGAGCTTGCTGAGCTGGCTGCGTGGCTTGTAAAGCAAGAGTTCGAGGGGGAAGGGAGACACTTCACGTTCAAACTTAAAACCACATACAAAGGGCTCCTTCGTGCCTCCCAGGTTCTCTTCGGCTTGCTGACCGGGACAGAGAACCAGTACACGAGCCGGAGCAGCGCTCTGAGCTCCCAGGAGCTCCACAACATCTTGCCGTTAGCATCCAGCCAGATCAGGTGAGGTGCTCGGCTCCTCTTTGCAGTCTCACACCTCTTTGAGAAGCGGGTCTAAAATCGTTGCTTCCCTGTGACCGGCCACATTTCCTTCTTCCATCTCTTAAGGTTTGGACTCCTGCCGCTGAGTATGTCAAGTTCACGGAAGAGCAAGTCTGCTACCAGCAGCACAGAGAGAGGGCAGGTTGGTAAAACCGAGCTGGACTAACTTTTTGCCAGTACTCATTCTCCCACCACCACTCGAGCTTGCAGGGAAAGAAGAAAGTAGCCAAACAGTTAATATTTAACCTGATTTTTATTTTCGGTAAAATGAGAGAACCATTACGGCAACACAGCATGAGATGGTTTGGATTTCCCCTTGACCCTCAAAAAAAAAAAAACTGGCGGCCCCTGTATTTTTGGGGCCTACTGCTCTGTGGTAAAACATAAGCAATAGCCACCATGAAACCACAGTGAAGACTTGTACAGATGAGGCATTTTTGAAGTCAATGCATAAAAGACAATTCATTTAAAGATGGCTGCAGGAAACACTGATGAATACTAGGTAATTATGTGAACTTCTTTCCAGTGTGGTGCGGACCTTTAACTCCTGACGAAGCCTGGCTTGGGTATTTAAGCCTGTGTGAACAGAGTGTCTTGCTTCTGCAAAGGCTTGGTGTTGTCCTATTCCTGAGTTTTATCAGTAGCCAACCATTACATTGCTACGTTTTCCCCCAGTTTAAAACATCTGCTTAGATGGAGTTCTCTACGCTGAGGATTGAGGGAGCCAAGGAATACCTCACCGCTACAGGAAGCGGTAATTAGTAATCTGTTTCCTTTAGCTATTAATAACCCAATAATCCATCTGTGGCGATGACTTTTCAACTGGGACAGGAGAGTAAAGGTCTGGTTTTATCAGAGCAGAGTGTTACTTGAGATGCTGATGTTTACTCTGCAACTCCTGTTCTCCATTATTCAGAAGCATTAAGGACCAGACCTGGTATAAGGATTGTTTAAAAGTCCAAAGCTTCAAAGTAAACGTATTCTTTGCCTCTTACACCTCAGCTGTAGCAGAGTGTAGAAGTGTGCAGTGATGTTTGACTCGCTCCTACCGCTCCCATCACTGGCTGGGGCAGCACCCAGATGTTCTGCGCTAGCCCCACTTCTCAATCCCTGGCAGCTGCTTACTCCTTTTATGCTAAAACAGTTCTGGAGAGGTTAAAGTCCACAGTTACTCAAGCACAGCTCTCTGCAAAGGCAGCAGCTGTACTTCTACCCAGCTGTTAGCCCCTTGCTCTCAGAGCAGCAGCCCTTTCCCTGCAGTTGAGAATTAATTTTTTTTTTTTTTTTTTTTTTCTTTTTTTGAGCATCAGATGCCATCTGAAAAGTTACCTGTTGCTAACAGCAAGGTGCTGTGCTTCCGCTGCTCGGAACCGCCTCTGCCTGCCTGTCACTAACCTCCAGGAGTGACACCGCTGAGGTGGTGGTTCAAGCTCAAGTTGCCTGGGAAGAGTTGTTCTGCTGTAGTCTACGCCTCCTTGCAGCTACTATTGATGAGGATATGGAGTAAGTCAAAGGTACGCTGTAATAATTACTGATGCTTTTGTTTTTAAAAACTAACAGGTTCCACCTCCTGTACTCTCAAGAGTAGAAGATGAGGCATCGCGCCCTGGCTCTTTGTTCAGGCAGCTTGTCACCGAGGAGGAGGACACGGCTGCACCTTCTCTCTTCAAGCTGGGATGGCTTTCGGGCATGACCAAGTGATGCAATAAAAAATAAAAAGTTTGTCTGTGTATTCGTCTTCACCGAGCTCCCGCTCTCCTCCGCTGGTACTGGCAGAAGTACTTTTCCATCCTTACCCCGATCCCGGTACGGCCCTTGCACCAGGCACAGCTCAGGATTGTCCTTGCTCTCTGGCTGCTGGAACAGAGGTGTAGCTACTCTTTCACCTATTCCTCAGAAGTTGTTAAAGTCCAATTAAAGAAGAATAAAAACACCAAACGAAAACAACCTACACACTAACAGAAAACAAAACATTTCACAGCTAGAAAGGGGTAGTGGAGCAATGCAAGACTCCTCTCTCCTTCCAAAGCCCCTCCCCGGGCTACTCTCTACTTTCTCCAGAGGCAGCACAACTCTGCTCGCTCAGTGAACCCAGCAGGCACCTGACATTTCAGCTACAGCTGCCTAAAGCTCTCCTGGTTCTAGTTTCACATTTTTTTTTTTTTTTTTTTTCCAGTACTGCAGCAGTACAGATCAAGGAAGATAAGGCTCATCACACAGCAAACTGGTGGAGAGTTCACAGCTGGGGCAGTCCTAAGGGATTCCAGTGACAGCACCTGTTCTTACTGTCTTAGTAACCCTAAATGCTCAAAAAAATTATGCTGCCAAATAAATTTTTTACTAGTTTTATTGAAATTAAAAAAGACTTATAAAACTGAAGATGAACGTTTGAGAGAACTTTACATAAAGCAACAAATTGCTAACAAACAGATTAGGCAGTTGATTGGAATTGGACATTTTACAATCCTATAACACAAATGTGGATTCCTCGGTCTCCTCCTGACACGTACTTTATAACCACCCCAAAAGAATCCTATAAAAATTGCTTCAAAGCCCCTTTTGCATTGCAATAGTGCAGCAAACCACAAGTAAACAATTTCCTGTTAACCTGTTATTTCAAATATAGACTGAAAAGGCAACAGGCGTTTTGTGCAATTCCATTTTAACAAACTTTTAAGTTGAAATATCAAATCTACACAGTGCTGTCCCTTCACAGAAGGCAGGGAACTGCTGGTTCATCATGTAGGAAGGCGTCCCCGGCTCTGTAAGCTGTGAAAGTGTGCCTCCTTCAGGATCTGGTTGATGTGGAAGTAAGGACCTTGGCTTAGTGCAGACTGCTCATGGAAGGACTGAGAGGAGACAGGACTGGATCCTGCAATTATCGGGTTTAGGCTGGTTTCTGCACCGCACGCTCTGTCAGGGCTGTTGATGCTACTGCTACTACAGCTGCTGCTGCTGCTGCCGCTATCGCTGCTGGAGGACTGAGACAAAGAGAAGGTTAACAGCAAAAAAAATCACACAGTTTTCTCTCCTGTCCATAATGAAACACCTCAGGTAAGCAAACAATCTTTACAGTAAGTCCCTCCCTTCCAGATTCGCAGGCTCACGTTCAGCCTGATGGACTAACGTAAATCCACCAAGTGCTTTCTTGGCATTCATAGCTTCTGTTATTGCCAACACATGAAAAGCGTCACAGAGCTGAAGGGATGAGCAAGCCTTCACCCGGAGGGTCGCTGACCTCCAGTACATTGGATTTCAATCTTTCAGTTTTAGGCCCACCAGCTCTGCCCCCATGACCCACGTTAGCACTAGTGAAATTTGCTGAATTCATCTGAGAATTGGAAAATAAAGAACATTCCTACTGAACTGCACGTGTCAGTAAAAAGGCAGGCAGGGCATGAGGGAAAAGTTTATCGCTTCTGTTCTAGCAGACATTTTAGGTAAGCACCATGCAAAGCATTTTCCTACCAGTCAATCTTTCTAAAATGAGATCTGAAGCATCCAAAGCAACAGGCTGTTAAAAACAAATGCAACACGATACCCATTTTAAGTCTTTGAACACCTTGACATACACATGACTACTCTTCTCCCAGTTAAGTACTGGGATGGCAATGATAACTGGTAGTTTTCCACAACAATTTATTTGACACACAAGCGGAAGAGCGACAGGCATCGAAGACTTCCACATGCAGAAAAGAGAACTCATGATTTAGCTCGCACAGAGGACAGGGCTCATTTGCCAGCATTTAGGATAAACACATTTCATGGTAATGACTGGAAGAGCATTAGCCATCGTTTTCAGTGTTTCAAAGACATAAAACTGTTTGGTTTACACCATTTTAAGGGCTGCTAATGAAAGGTTCCATTAGTTACAGCTGAAAGATTTCATTACTGTGTGATACGCTGTTCAGGACAACACTGCAAATATTTAGGTGCTTAAGAATCAGAGAACGGCTACTTCGCTATCCCGTAAGAAGTAAATTCACAAAAGCAGCCAGCGCAAGTGACAGCAGCTAAAAAAACCCCACAGTTTTACAAGTGTTAAACCAAAACCACAGAAGTCAAGGCTCGGTGGCCACAGCAGCGGAAGACAAATTTAAAGAAGTCCACATTAATTTAACAGTCAGCGCCACATCCAGAAAGCCTCGCTTTGGAGTAAATCTGAAGAACGGTGCAAACTGCACCGACACGTCTGTCATCGAGCAGTGAGAAAGGCCCAGGAGGGCACTTGTAGGAGCGTTTGGCGTGGGCCACACCTCAATGCCGACTGGAAACCCCACGGCACTGATTCCACAATCGATCATGACAATCCAACCATATAAATTTCCTTGTTTTGCTAAGCACCAAAAACGCTTCAGTTCTGTTGTAGTACAGCAAGCAAGACAATGGCACCGAGGTCGCAGCCGCGCTGGCGTGTTAGGTTCAGCTAGCAAGGAGAAAACACCACACATGAAGTCATTCTCGAGGAAGCAGCAGGTGTAACTATATGAGCAACCAGCTCCTTTTCCTAATGCTGCTAACGCTAGAGAGGGAGAGAATGCCGGGAAGACAGAGAGGAGCCACGAAATGGTGCTTGCTAGACCATCTCATTTTGCATAGAAGCACAGATATTGAAATGCAATGCTGTTACGCTGAACGAGTCACAGCAGCCTTGGAGAGAAACCCACCGCACAGGACACTTTGTTTCCTTTTAGTCTGTGTTCCTTACTGTTTTTCGTTACAGCCACCTTCTGAAAATCAAGGTAAAAATCAAAATGAGAACTAGTATTACTTGCTGCTAAAGTTTTACATCTTAACAAACATCTTAGAGCTGTTAGTAATGATTATTTTATGCATGTCTAATTTTTTTAAAACTGAGATAAGTGTCCTGGGACGTGCTTCCAGCATCTAAGGCTGTTGACAGATCTGGTTTGTCGGACCCTCTTTATTTCCATTTCTCTAATGCAAAAATTCACTAGCACGTGAAGCCCATTTATCGCCCAAATCATGTCAAAGACCTACCATTTCCCCAGGCTGTGGTGCACATTCTGTTACGCATTTGGACTACAATTAGACAAAAAAAGAATCCTTAAAGTCATCATGTCAGCAACGACAGGCATCTACACAATGAAACAAAGTTTTAAGCAAAAGGGCAAAGGAAAGTAGCCCAATGAAAGTTTACAAATACTTTAAGTATCAAAAGGGCATCTTCAAGGTTTACCCAGCCCATCAGCCCCTCTTAACATCAAACCGAGTAGCTACAGAAGTTTTAAACAATTCCTAATACATTTAATGGGACATTTGTTTGATCTGCTGATCTGTGACACAGCATCTCAGACGCTCATGACAGGAACTTAAGAAACAGCCATTCAGACCCTGCTGCTCTCAAAATTTTTCAAGATGAGTTTAACAGAGACGTTATCTGGTTTTAGTTAGAACTGAAGAGCAGCCCTTCCTCAATAGTGTAATACTGTCGAGTGGCATAGCTGCAACGCTAGACAAAAACTCTGATTTGAGAGAAGCAACTGCTGCCGTGCGTCAGCAATCCCCACCAACAGAACAGTGGTATTTCTAAACTCTAGGGAATCCTGTCATCGGTCAGAATAACAAAAAGGAACCACAAGAAATTAGGTTTTACAGAAGTTATTCAGGAAGGAAAAGAGTTAGCCAGAACCCTGCAGACTCCCTTCCTTCCCAGGGAAAATCAGAGCAAAGGGCTTTTCATCAGTGATTCCCCAGGTTGCAGAGCACAATCGCAGATTCTCACAATCCCCGTGAGCAGCTGCTTGCAGCCAGCCCCTCAGAGGATCCCCGAGGCTGAATTCAGCTTCAGCTGAATTTATAACCAAGTTCCAGGGAAAACAACACAGCTAACCTCTTGGTAAATGGAGGTCAGGCTGAACAGGAAGTGAAACGTGGTGGCAAAAGCTCGGCTTCGCTAATGTTTAACATTCGCTGTGGTTCTAGTCTAGTGTTTTCGTCGTGTGCCTGTTCACAGACTGAACTGCAGAGCAGAAGTTTTACTGTCGTTCTCAGAGTGGCTGTCGCCTAGGAGTGTGGGAATGGTTCGTTCCAAGAAGAGCGGGGAATTGCACATCGTTATAGCAACTTGCCAAGAGGCAGTGCTGACAGAGATTGAAGAGAATCTCAGTTTCCCTCCTATAAAAGTCAGAGCTGAAGATGCTCTCTGCCCTGAACCAAAGAGCAATCTAGTGGGAGAAAACAGCAATATCCTTTTGCATCAAATATCTATGCACATGAGCAGTAAGATTCAAAGTGAGGGACCGAGGGGTAACTTCAGAGAACAGCCCACGTTTGAACTGCCACTAAGAAAAAAAAGGTCCCTTCACCTTACACATAGTGCTGTCAGCTCTGAAGAGTAAGACAAAAAAAATGGAACGAGATCCTGACAAAAGCCAAGCCCAGTTTTAGTAATACGGCTGCCTGATTTCCATAGTGAGGTTATGTTCTCATGTAAACCACACTCTGTAAGAGAAAACACTCAACTTTCAACTGAAGGCAAAAGGAATCAGTAATTTAGCTAATGTTTCACAAGAAGCAGGTGTGTGTATGCCTCAGATGAAAAGCAATTCTCTTCTCATGTGCTCTCTGAAGTTACCAATTGTTCCTACACACACACACACTTTCTCTCCCAGTTCAATATCCTAAAGCTAGTGAGGATTTTTAATCAGCAAGAGCTGTCTTTGCAAATGGCAAAGTATCAGGAAACTAAAGAAAAGTATTACAAATGGCCACGAATTTCAAAGTGACATCAATCGGAAGCACTTGTGCACTATAAGCACAAGAATTACCCCATTTGGCACAGGAAGTCCTTAAAGAAACATGCAAATAATACTGATTTAATCTCATGGCTTGGATTTCTGGGCATGCTCACTTCAGTGATCCTACATTACAAGAAAACAAGCACACACGCAAAAAAAAAGCTCTATTCATCAGTAGACAACATTGTGAATTTTGTTCCCTCGAGAAAGGGAACATTGATTTTTGTAAGACTGTGTCCAGCAGGCACATTCCTCCCCTTCAGCGTCAAGAGTGAGAGATTCTCCTTGCCTGCACATCAGGGTTTAATGTGTTAAAAACATACTTTTACAATGCAAGTGCATGCATGAAGCAGGAGTCTTATTGTTAGCCTGGGCAATTGAGCTCCGCGCTGGCTCAGCTGGTGGCGGGGCAGGCAGTTCATGCCCATGCTGGTCACTGGCAGGCACCCCAAACAAAACAGCCGTTAAGGACAGAGTTAAGGTCATCCGTTCTTGTGTGGCTACTACAAGGCTACTTCCATTTCTGCATTTTAGTGGCTTTGCCCGGTCAAATGCCAAGTGTTTATATGACAAGCGAAGGTGCTTCTGCCACTCACCATTAAGGTTTTTCCTGATATTCTTAATTTCATTACTCCTACTTCAATCCCTTGTTCCACACTAAATTCTTCCTCCTCCCGCCACAAAGCTCATTTAGCCATTAACTACTCTACACACGAAGAGGTGTTTAACCTGTTGGACAAGTGATTCAGTGTCAGACGGCAAGCAACTATTTATGGTTCTACCCGTTATACCCGAGAAACAAAAACGACTTCATCCCAGCAAGTCTTACTTCGGGCAAAACAGCAATATAGGAACTGGGAACATTTTTCATCACAGCAAATTCCTTCGTGATTAACATCTCAGCTGTTAGAACATTTTCCATACCATATCACTGACTATCACAGCAGCAACGTGTAAAGGTGTACTGCTTAAAAGAAAGTCTCCCTCACAAAAGGAATGGTGGGATACAGAGCTTTGTATATATTTACATTTAAAATTATATCTTAAGCCATTAACCTACGATAAAAGATATGTTGCTCAAAGTTACATAGCACAAAACATTTCCTGCAGTCAAAGTATAGTTAATAGTTCAATATAACTGCAGTAACTTATAATTACTCATTACAGCAAATCTTCAGAGTGAGAGGGTTGTACAAAACCCAACAAGGATATTTCAGAAACCTTGAAAGAAATCCATTTCATTAACTTCCAGGGACACAAATCAGGAGGGAGCCTTTACTCTGCAGGCTCTTTTTCAGTAACATTTTGCAACAAAATTACATTGCTAATTAGAAACGCATACAGTGAATTTTCAGATGATTAATACAGGCAACAATTCAGGAAATCTGGCAGCTGTTTGGAAATCAGCATTTTTTTTAAAAAGAAATCTCATAGCTCGATAATTGCATTCTCCTAGAACACCTGTCATGTGAGCAATGAGAGAAGAGACAGTTTATCCCATGTCCAGCAAAAGATCATGGCAAATATGAGTAGAAATCCAAGAGTTTAAGTGTTTTAGCTGTGAACGAGCGAGTCTTACTTAAACTGCTGAGCTCCGTCAGAGCATTTTTTGAACATCAGATAAGAACTGCTGCTTGCAACAGGTACTTTGTGTATCGCACTAGTTGGAATGCTTTTTGACCTTCTACCACAGACAATCACGTTACTATAAGTAAATGCAAAACTGGAAGAGTAGATGGCCAGGCAAAGGGACCACAGACACCTGTAATCCACTCTAGTCATCTCCTCGGTTGTGGATATGTTACACCTCCATTTCAGACAGCAAAACTAAAAGTGGCAGCAAATGCTTTTCTCGTATCCTCACTTGGGTGCTACACATCAGTATTTGAAATATATTAACAGAAATACTCAGGCCAAAGATATCCAGGTTCACTGGAAAACATGCTGATTTCCAAAGCACGTTTTACAGATTTCAATTTCTGCAGGACGTAACAGTGTCAAGCCTCATGACCTCGCACACAAAGCAAAATGAAGTGTTTTCATTAACTACTCTCCATGAATAAGGTTTCACAGAATATTCCAACTGTTATTTAAATTCAGCACTAGAGGAAACTGAATTTGCCTAAGAAGGCTCTCACCTCAGTGTCCCAAGAGTCCTGAAGGACTGAATTCCTGGAACTGCGTTTTGTCTGGGGAACGTGACTGTCATCTTCATTGCCATTCCGTCTTCTCTTCCTGTAGAAAGTTCAGGGAGAAAAGAGAAAGAAAAAAAACATTAATCAGCTTGCTGATATACCTTGTTTTGTTCTCTAAAGGCAACTCTACAAAAAAAGCTGGAAAACTTCATAAATGAAGGATGTATCTAAACCTCTGATGTGCTGTGCACTGCCATACTCTCTTTTTAGCTGTTCTCTACAGAATAGAGAGAAAACTATCACATTTCTCACAAAGTAGCCAGGCTGATGTTTTCATATCAGTTTAAGGGATGTAGACTCACAGCTACCATTACAACGAGTGCTGAGCATCTTTCCAAATAAACTCATTTGACAATTCTCAGCCTTGCAACTGGTCTCAGTACTGAGGCACGTCTAAAAATAAGCTTGGGACTTTGAACGACACCTGACAGGCTGAGAAGCATGCGGAAAGAGTGGCAGTGACCACACTTTCAATAAATACCCAATTACATTCATCTTGCTTACACGAGTCTGCAGTTAGAGCCTATGACTTTCTTTAATCTCTCCACTGCGACAGATCTGAAGTCAAGTCACGTTCCAAAGCAACATTATTCTCCATGCAGAAAAGAAGTTTTATGATAAAACACCTCAGGAAGACAAATCCTTCCCCATTTCTGATGTATTTGCCAGCCTCTTATGTCATCAATGCTGCTGCACAGCACCTGATCAACGACAGCAACCTAGAACTCCTGCAAACCAACATCTCTCAGCATCTACAGAATTTTAATACTAACATCAAAAGATTCTTTCCAATCACACAAATATCACAGGTCAACCAGGACCTTGTTGCACTGGGCACTCTCCAAAACATAGAATGGAGCTGTTCTGCTGCCTAAAAATTAATACATACTCAAATGAGTCAAAACAGACTCAAGTGAGGTATTTATAACTGAATGTTTTCTTACAGACAGGCTTCTGCAGCAGACTCAGCTGCCAGTGTTGGGTCCACGCCTACAGACCAGGAGCAGCCTCCCAGCTCTCCCATCCCTGGGATGCCCACAGCACTCTAAACCGTTGATCCACCACAGCCCATCGACTTCTCCCCCCCCTAGGACCGCTCTTCTTACAAGAGCCGCTTCCCCCCACACCACCGCTGCCTCCAGACCCCTCCTTTTCCTAACACCTCCGCCCCCCACACCCTACCGCCTCACAATTTGGGGCACTCACAGCCTACACGCTTCATGCTCCCTCTTGTTTTTTCCCTCCCCCCACCAGAGAGGACCCACCTCCGCCCCCTTCCCCAGCAAGCCGAGAAATGCCCCTCCAGCCCACCCCAAACCCCCTCAGCACCCACAACGCCCGTTTGATCCCCGAACGCAGCCAACCGCCCCCCCCCCACACACACACCCCCCTTCACATCCCCAGCCCCCGGTTTAACCCCTTCCAGAGACCCGAGGGCCGCTCTTCCCCCCCCACACCAATTTTTTCTGCGCATTCCCTTGCTCAAGCCTCCCCCCGTCTCGATGCCCGAAGGGGGGGGTGTCCCCCCCCACAAACCGAGCCCCTCTCCGCATCCCCAACCACCGCGTCCCCCCCTCCCCGCCTCAGGCCGCGCTCCCCTCCCCCACCCCGGCTCCTCTCCCCCCCCCGCCCCACACACCCACCCACCCACCTCTGCCTCGCTCCTCGCTCGCTCGGCAGCGGCTGCCGGCAGCTCATGGCGGGACGGGGCTGAGTTCTGCGAGGCGAGAAGCTGCCGTGGGGCCCGGCCGCTGAGGACAGACGGCTCCTTCCCCCCCGCCTCCCCTCGCCTCCCTCCCTCCTCCCCAACTCGGCTCCAACCGCCGCTTCCGGCGCCTCCCGCACATGCGCGACGCCCCGACCGCGGCTGGCCACGCCCCCTCTCCCGCCGCGTCACAACGCGCGCGCCGGGGGGGCGGGGACGCCGCGCATGCGCAGTCCTGAACACCCGCCGAGCGGGGAAGGGAAGGCGGAGGCCCTCCGGGGGTGTCATGGCGGCCCCGCCGCCGGAGCGGGAGCTCTGTCCGCACTGCCGCCGGCCCTTCAAGCGGCTCCGGGCTCACCTCCCGCACTGCAAAGCCGCTCCCACCCCGGCGCCGGGGTTAAACCCAAGCCTCGGCGCGGCCGCCGGGCCGGGCAGCAAGCCGCGGGCCGCCGCAGCCGGTAAGAGCAGCAAAAGGCCGCCCAGCCCCGGCCCGGCCTCCCGGGAGGCGGCGGCTGGCAGCGGGAAAGCGGCCGCGGGCCGTGCAGGATCCGCCGGCTCCTCGCTTCCCCCGCAGCCCGGCCCACAGCGGAAGGTGGAGCCGGCGGTACGGGACGTGGCCGAGGCCCTCGATTTGCTCCCTGAGGAGGTTCAAGATCTGCCCGAAAAACTGAGTAACGGCGTGAAAATAGTGATAGAGAAGCACCGCGCCAGGGTGATCAGGGAAAAGAGCGGTTCCAGGAGCAGGGAGGCTTCGATGGGAAGCCCCAGCGCACAGTGGGCTCCCGTGGAAGGGTCAGGTCCAGGCCGTGGTGCTGGCCACACTGCTAGCCACGCTACCATAGCCCAGCCGGACCCCCAGGAGGGAATAACCCCAACAAAAAACACCAACACAGAGACACACGGCCTTGGAGCGGTGGAGAGCGCATCTGCGAGGCCAGAGGGAGAAAAAAGCAGTAGTTTAAAGGCAACAAAACCACATGTATTTCAAGACACGCCTGAAGCTGCCTGCAGAAGCAGCCCTGGTGACCTTGTTCAGCAGGAGGTAAGAGACAAAACTGTGACCAAAGAGAAGCAGATGTACCTAGAAGCTGGTGTGGAATATAAAGCTCCTCTTTCTGCTTTGCATACCAAGAGCCTCCATCTGTCAATGGGAGAGGGTTTCAGAGGTCACAGCAAAGAGACATCCAAAAATGACCTAACCAGCATACAAAAGCTTCGAGAGAGCAAGAAGCAGATGGCCATAGGTTCCGAGCCCATCCTGAATGCGAGGACAGACATCGAGCTGGCGGAGCACCAGTTCTTGCTCCACACCTCCAAAAGCCAACCCATCTGTCTATCCCAGGCCTCTGGCAGGAGCCCGCCCGTGGGCGCCGTGGGCTTGGAGTGGTTTCCAGACTTACATCCTAATTATAATGGGCTGAGTATTTTTCCAGGGAAGCCTTTCCAAGAAAGTGTGGGGATGACAGTGAAGACACCAAAGAGCAGCTTCTCAGAGGGACAGCAAGGTAATGTGAGAAGTCTCTGCTGCTGAGATTTACAGCACTGTCAGGCTAAACTATCCACTGTGAATGAGAGAGGAGGGATAGGAGATGCTGAGCTGCTGGGCATGGCCAGAAAGGGTTCAAGGAGGTTAACTGTCCAACCCTCCAGCCTGCAGAACCAGTGGTTTACATTTTTATGTAGGTTTGAGTCAGGCTTTTACAGGTTTGGGCTGGTGGAACCGACTCACTTTGTGGGAGAGATGATTCGCTCTTTCTTTCTGAGCAGTCAGCCCCAAGCCCGAGTCACTGGGAGCCGTGTTGGACACCAGCTCCACGCACACCCCCCAGCACAGGGAACACGAGCACCACACGCGTTGCCCTGACTTTCCTACCTTTGACCACTCTGACTTCTCGTTGCCCAGGTCCTCTCTCAGCAAGACGTCTGATGGATGTAAGGCTGGGGGAGCTGCCAGCCTGGCTGGCCACCTGTGACTTTTCTCCCCAAGGGCTGCTTGGAGGAGTGCAGAAAGGTGAGGCAAAATCCCCGGCCCTTGGAGCAGAATCATTCCACTTACCTGATTTACTTACTGCAGGTCCAAGTGGCTGATCTGGATCTTTATCAGGTAGTGAATAAATAGCCCCAACCATTTGGCTCTGGAAAGTTACATGGAAACCAGCGAATTCCGCAAGACCCATGCATGATTTGACCCTTGTATTTCTGTTCCAACAGCCTGGAGCAGCTATTACGACAAGTACATCAACATAAGGAAGGGTGGACCAGCTGGGATCTCCATGCTGCTGACTGGATACTGCCTCCTCAGCTATGGCTGGAGCTATCAGCACATCAGTAAGATTTCCTTCTTAGTTTCTGTCTTATTTCAGGAATTCTCACTTTTGCAGCACTTGAAGAGTCTGTTTGCCATTCGTGTTAATTCAGACTCTGAAATATAACTGCACAGTTAAGACTGATAACAGAGCTCAGAACATTATTCTGACCTGGTTTAGGTAGGCAGCAGAATTTAGCTCATAAAAGGTGGTGATAACAGTTGCTGATTCACAGCTGCTCCCTGGAGAGCATCAAGAACTGTCAGGAGCAGTTTTAAACCCTGCACAAAGCAGTGAGAAGAGATGTTCCAACACTAAGCACTCGTTCGCTGAATTTACTCATAACTGACAAGGGATTTACCGGTGGTTGTGTAGTTTCCCCAGCAGGACTGGCTCTCAAGCACAGCTCTGCAGCACATAAACAGAGAAGGCTGCAGTCAGTCTCCTCGCCACTGCTGGGCAAAGCCCACTCATGCAATCCCCAAGCATAGCACTGTGCTAACAATGTTCTGGTTTTTTCCCCCTCTGCCTCATTTTTCTAGAGCATCATCGCTGGCGTAAATACCACTGAAGAAGCTGGAACAGCACCCAAGGAACAGTCACAAATATCTGACTGGGAGGCAGCAGAAACTCAGAAACCAATGTCCCAACAGGGACTCAAATCAGCAGAAGCCTATTTATTTTCAGAGATGGGTTCTTTAATTGTTGAGGGAGCTGCTTTTCACTTACCCTCCTGTAGACAGAGGGGTGACACTGACAGCAACAGCCTGCAGTCGCTGCTCTGTGGTTCAGGCAGAATTTAGTACCAAAAAAAGTCAAGTGTTAGAGCTGCCTCTTGAGGACTGCATGCAGCAGAGCTCCTGTAGGCTGCAGAAACACAAATCTCTTGCTTTGGGACACCAGGCACAGGACAACTCCTTGACCTGGGCTGTTAAATAGAGATTAATGGACATGAACATTGGAGTCGGGGTGTTTGGCAGGAAGGTTTGTGATGGGTTGTGTCAGGGTGGGCTTCACCCAGATAATTCCCTTCAAATTAGTGGAGTTACGCCTGGCCCAGCCCATCTTTTACTTACCCCTCTCCACAGCAAGCGTGATGGCAGAAGGGTGGTCCCTTCCACGGAGGGCCCCCCAGCCCCTGCCTCGCTGTCAGCACGGCGCTGCTGGGACTGCCCAGGCTCTGAGGGAAGGATCTTTGTGAAGGCATTAAAGCAGCAGCACTCAGACCGCAGCGCCCTATTTCTGGAGGAAGAAAATCCATTGGATTAGCTGTTGTGCCCAAAGGGCAAAGCGATGTCTGCATCAGACAAATGAGGACAGTTATGAGAGTGCTAGTTGTAGCCTGCCATCACCAAACATGTCTGGAAAAGAGTTGGTCATGTTACAGGCATGAAGGGTGTAAAAAAAAAAAAATGCCATGAAAAAACAAATCTGAACTCTTTATTCAAAGAGAATGCAGTAGTACTGTGTCAGAGGTGTTTCACCACAAACTCCTTCTCACCAGCAATAAAAGCCTTTGTGAATTTTCCGTTCCTGCTTGGTACTGTCTGTTCTCAAACATGGTGCATCTTTACCCCCTTTCCCAGGGGATTACCACACCTCCACCCTCATTTGCCCACGAGAGTCCTGTGCCCCTTCCAACCTGTGATCGTAGTGACCCCCCCCCCCGCCCTGATCCACGCAGGAGGGAACTGGGGCAACTGTGAAGAGTCCAACTGGAGTTGCGTTAGGGAAGCTGTGATTTCGCTGCTGCTTGTGCAAAGAGCTTTGAGTGCCGGTGCTGAGCAAAACCAACTGGCTTTTCTAGTCCAGCAACTGCCCCAGTAGCCGTCTGGCTGGCTCCGTGGCGCTTGGTGGCATCCCGCTTTCCATGGCCCACACGGGAGCACTCCAGTCACTTCCCCAGCAGAATTCCCAGCTGAGTCTGCCCGCACTTACTGGCGTAGTGACCTCTCTGCCTGCACTGGGGGGGGGGACAGGAAGAGGCAGGCGTCGGATTAGTGCTGGGTGACCCCAGTGCTGTGTTACCACCCGTCCGTTTTCACATCATTTCCCAGCAGTGGGGCTAACGGAACAGTGTTTTGTTCCAACAGGGCAAGCAACACCCCGAAACCTGCAACTGCAACAAACCCCCAACCCAGAGAGGCGTGAGGGGCTCGCTGCCCCCCAGGGCTATTCTGCTGCACGCCGAGTGTGTATTAGCACAGAAGTCCCTTCATGTGCAGTCAGATTATTTCAACCCAAGTACAGTTTCCTTCCCAGCTGGTTCCCACCCCAGGGCCAAGGAACAGCCCAGGGAGAAAACTTGAGTCAAGGAATCAAGACACTCAACCCTCCCTCCAAGGCAAGACCCATTGCTCCCAGGCCTCCCAGTCCCAAAACCACTCACCTTGCAGCAGACGCCTTGTTCAAGCAGGCTCTGTGGGCCCAGGGCACTGGTGACTGGTGGAGGGGGCTCCACGGGTGGCACGTCCTTGCAGCCACTCTCCTCACCGACAGCCAGATCCAGCTGTACCAGCCCCCAAGGACAGCCGGCTCCCTGGGAGGGGGGACACACATGGGACAGGAGGGACAGTTGGCAGCTGCTGTCCCACAAAAGCTGGGGCAGAAGCAAGGGAAGCAAGAGCTGTGGGGCAGCTGGTGCATCGCCCTGACAGGCGGAGGCACGGAGCGAAAGGGCTTCAGCTCAAAAGAGAACAGCGCAGGAGCTTCCCTGCATCACCTTGGGTGGATCCGTGCTGCTCGTCATCAGCCCGGCCTTGAGGCTGGAAGGGGACACAGAGGACAGGCAGTTATTCCCAGTACCCCCAGTTTCCCCCACTCCCCGTAGCCCCCTCCAGCCTCTCGGGGCTGTCCTGGGGCTCAGGCAGCTGGTACAGGCACTGCCACGGGGCCCGGGGCTGTTCCCTGCTGCAAACCCCACGTTCACCAGCTCAGGTTGGACATGGGGAGAGGCCAGAGGGGCTCAGTTAGATCAGACAAGGACCCCAAGCACCCTTGTCCTTCACCCAGACATTGCAAAGGCCACAGCCACCTCCGCAGCCTCAGAGAGGGGGCTGTGTGTGTGTGTGTGTGTGTCCCCAGCCTGCCCCGTACTTACTGCATGAATTTGCACTTGGGTCCTTCTGGGCAGAAGCCGACGAGGTAGTTGGTACACATCACCCTCCTCGTGTGCTTGTACTTGCACAGGGGACCTGCCACGCAGAGGAGAGGCTCCCGTTCGTGGGGACACGGCACCCCACGCCCTGCCCTGCAGGGATTTTGGGAGCCCAGGTCTCCCCCCAGCCGCCCCGTTCCCCTTTGGGTCTATGGGATCTTTGCTGCCCCACGCCCAAATCCCCACTGGGCACCCAGTCCCACCCCCAAGACAACCCACTGGGGTTCATCCCACTCTGGCTCAGTCACCTCAGAGGAGGGAGGTTGGGCCAGCAGCAGGGTCCAGGTCCCTCATCACGAGTGGGTAGGGAACACGTGCTGATACACGAGAGCGGGGCAGCCCCTGCTCACCCCAGCACCCCTCCCGACAGCTCACCGTTCCTGCAGAACCCACGGTCATACCAGGGGCAGCCCATGGTGCTGGAGGTGGCATCAGCGTGCAGGAAGGGACAGTCCTTGTTGATGCACTCGCCTGTGGGAGCAAAGGGTGGGACAACGCTGGCTCAAGCCAAACGCAGTGGAAATCACTCCAGGATGGGGTGGGTGGGAGGAACCGAGGCGCCCCAGGAGCACCCAGGTTTGGCCTGGGGAACAGCGGGCCTGGGTGGGTGCCAGGGGCTTTCCTTCCCACAGACGGGAGGTGGCATCAGGCACTTGCTCGAGGCCAGACCCAAGGGACACTGGGTGCTGGGGTGGCAGAGGCTTGCTGGGGTGTCCCCAGCCCCGTCGCACACCTACCGAACTTGGCGTGGAAATAGCACTTGGGCACCTTGGTCACGTCGTACTCGTGCAGGAAGTCGCACTCGTCGCCCTTCTTGCAGAGCCCGCGCAGCCAGTGCTTGCACACCGCCGTCTTCTCCCCGCCGCTGTGTCGGCAGGGGCACCCCACGCCTGGCCACGGCACGCACCCGCTGTCACAGCCTGCCCGTGCCCCGCAGCCCCTCCAGTTCCTGCCCGCGCCCACGAACCCCCCACCCCAGCACCCTACAGCTCTTTGGCTCGAGACATGCCAGGAGGAGCTTCCCGGGATGTGGAGGAAATTTGGAGCGCCCAGTGGGTGCGTGGGGCTCGGTACCCCCCAGCACTGCCGAGCTCTGGTCGCCCTGGAGGTTTTCTACCCCTCCCCGGCACAGAAGGGGTAGGAGCACTCACCCAAATGGTCGGGGGGGGACGACGGACTCTGAGCACTGTTAGAATTTCAGGCCAAAACCTGCCAACCCACTGGCCACAGAGCAACCTGCTGTGGATGCGGGCTGGTCGTGGAGCGGAGCCTGTCGGGCTCCCTGATGTCCCCAAGGATCTTGCAGGGGACATTCCCCGTCCCTTCCCAGCACTCACCCTTGGTGCACAGCCCTCGGTGGAAGAACTCGCAGACGGCCACCCCCAGCTCTGCGGGGGAGAGCAGGGCAGGGAGAACTTCACCCGCTGGCCCCAGTGTTGGAATCACTGCGCCCTCAAGGGTGACAGCATCTCAGCCCCCTCCGCTCTAGCTCCCCACAAAGCTGTGCCAGATGCATTCCCAAGGGAGCAATGCCCGGAGCCAGCCCAGCCTCAGGCAGGAACCCCTGGGAGGAGGCAGGACCAGAGGCACCCAGGCACGATGGTGGGTGCAGCACAAGCCAGGAGGAGCACCCCAACACCTCCTTCAGCCCTGTTACCCTTCAAAGGATGCCACAGGACCCTGTCCCCAACTTACTGTCCATACCCGGGAAGGGCAGGGGCTGAGCTCCTCGCTGCTGCTCCACATCAGCCTCTAAGTCAAACCTGATCTTCTCCACACCAGCCACCAGCTCCTGCATCACCCCTGCGCCGGCACGAGGCACCTCCAGCCCGGCACAGGCAGGGAACACGGCTGCACAGGGGCTGCCAAAGGAAAGCACCGCACACTGCAGATCACCACAGCCAACCTGGGCCTCAGCAGCACTACAGAAACCCTCCTCCTCCTCCCCAAGCCAGAGCAAAACGAACCCAGGCAGCAGCCTGGAGCGCTCCATTTAGAGAGAGAAGCTGCCCACATCTGATCTCGATTTGCAGCCGTGATTGCCTGGTGCCGCAGCCCAGCTGCAGGCAGCTCAGCCCCGGGCCCCCCATTGCATCCCCCCGTAATTGCCTCTCCGCACCGACATCTGCTTTTCCTCCAGCCCCGGCTCTGGGGCAGAGCAGCTGGCCCACATCTCCCTGGGAGCAGCAGGGTCCGCCGGGGCCGGCCATGAGCTGGGTTAACCCCCTCGCACCGGGGCTGCTGCCTTAAACGGAGCCAAATGCAGCCCGAGCGCTGATCCTGCGTGGGGTTTTGTTACGCACCGAGCGCTTTGAGCATCGCTGGGTGCACAGCAGCACCATCCCCAGCCCCGCTTCCCGGCAGGATAGACCCACATCCCCGGGGCTGAGCGTGGGGACGGGCAGGTCACACCTTGCTCCCCGATGAGAAGCCCCTTTCGGTCCCCGCTGCCAGGCCGGGGGCTCGCACGTGTGCCAGGCTGCTGCAGCACATGCCAGGCACAACCACAGTGCCACGCTGCTGCCGGGGGGCCCACCCAGAAAAGACCACACGTGTCCCCCTTCCCCAAGGTTTAACCTAATGCTCCATCCCTCCTCCATCACGTGGCTCCCACGGAAAACGCGCGTCCCCGGCACACGCCCGGAGCGACGTGGCCTGCCACATCGGGGACGGAGACCTGCTCCCATTCTGTCACTACCGATCAAGGCACTGGACCAGCGCTGCCCGCGGGTGCTGTGCACCGACCCCATCGTGCCGGCCACATCCTGCCCCGCGCCGTGCAGATTTGGGGGGGGAGGCTGCGGGTGCAGCCCAGCCGACCTCCCCTCCCCTCGCGGCGGGCGCTGGGGTTACTTCCCCGCTAGCCCCGGCCTCGTCCCGCTGGCCCCGTGCTCCCTCGCTCGCGCTGCGCCAGGGCCACCGTCCCGTCCCGCCGAGCTTTCTGCCCCGTCGGCTCGCGGCAGCGCGGTGCTGCCGAGCGGGAGGCTGGAGCCGACAGCCGTCACAAAAATCGCGATTGTCAAGTGAGGCAATTGCAGGAGGCCAGCGCCGGGTCGCCCCCAGGGCCTCTCCCCTCCCCGCGGCACCCGCGAGATCCCGGGACGGGGTGCAAACCCCAGTGAGCTGCCCTCCTCCCCGTTGCTTTGCATCAGAGCATCCATAAGCGACAGGAGAAGCCCGATCCCCCTGCCAGCAGCCTGGTGAGCTCCCAGGAGGGACCCGGACCATCGGCTCCGGGGATGGGTGCTCAGAGCAGGGGACACCAGCCCGGGGGGGGGGGTGGCTGTGCTGCAGTGACCGGGGCAGAGCCAGCCCGGTGAGCTCAGAGCCACCAGCTGCAGCTGCTGTTGTTCTCCCCGTCCCGGACAATAGCCCAATGTCCCACGCCGCGGGGCGTTGTGTCGGGCACAGGACCCCATTGTGTCCCAGCACTCATCCTGCTCCCACCAGCTTCACCAGGGGAAGATCCCTCCGGGAGGACAGGGGCACCCAGCCCATCCTAGGGCCAGGAGAGGTTGGCGGGGCCAAATCCTTTCCTTCCCCTCCATCACAGGTGAGGAGAGCCTGACCAGTGCTCCCAGTGCTCTCCACCCACTCGGGGAAGGGCTCTGGGGCTGCTCCCGGCGCTTGGCCCCATCAGAGCCCAGCTCCACCCGTAGGGCTGGGGAGGGAAGGCAAAGCCCCACTCGCACCAGGCGCTGAGCTGGGGGAAGGAAACAACCTGCCCTGTTCACCGTGACGGGGGTGGCAGGGGTCACGGCAGCCCCATGGGGCTGGGAGCACCCGGGGCAACCCCAGCCCTGGTCCCCAACCCGCGGGAGTGGGGACAGCCAGTCCTCCCCCACCGTCACCTTCCCCTCCTGCCTGGCTGGCAGGGAGCGGGGAGGAGAGCGGCATTTTGGCAGAGCTACCCCTTGGCAGGAACGGGTCTGGCCGGAGAGTCCCAGCCCGGAGCCAGATCCGGTCAGTGGGAGCTCACCCGCTTCCTCCCGCAGCCCCCCGCGACGGGCAGATAAAACACGGCCACTGCAGGTGCCGAAACACTGGCCAAGGGACCAGCCCCCGGGCAGGACTCCAGCCACGCACAGGCAGCAGGACAGAGAAAGCTGGTCCCCACTTGTGCCTCAGGATGCAAACACGTATACCCCCCCCAACACCTCTCATTCCCCAGGAACTCGGGCCGCTGCTGTCACTACCAATTTCCTTTTATTCTTTGCATTTGTACATACATGGTATAAAACCCTCCTCCAACCGCCTGCGCCAGGCCAGTGTCGGCGCTGCCCAGCCAGACCGGCCCCACGACAGCGGCCGCCGGCCCCCAAGGACTCGCCCTGGCTCATGGGGGGGTTCCAGGTGTTCCTCCCACGGGGGACAGACCCACGCTCCCCTCGGCATCCCCGGGAGCAGCCGGTGTGAGGGCTGGCCAAGGGGCCATCCCCACAACCCCCGGGGTTGTTTGGAGGGTCGAGAGTCTGGGATGGATCCAACCATCCAAGGGATGGGGAGTGAGCCCACGGCACGGCACGGGGCTGGAGGCTCTTGGTCTGAAAAAAGTCCCCGAGAAACCCGGGGAGCTGGAGCTGCCCACAGTCCCGGGCCCCCTCTGAGCTCCAGAGCCAAATCCTTCCTCATGGGAAATCTCCCCTCCGTTAATACCAAAAGCGAGTAAAGAAAGTTAAGTACAAATCAGAGAGCAGTAAAAACCATATGGCGGAAAAAAATATATATTACTAAAGGGGCTAAAATGTCAAAGCCTCGTCTTGTTTGATCCTATATTGCTTTACATGGGCAAGGGGGAAAAAAAGAAGAGAGCTAATATCCCAAGTCCAACAGAAAGAACCAAAATCGAGTCTGCTTTCCCCTTCTGAGATGTGCTGGAGCTCTCTGGGGGCCGCGAGGCGTCGGGGCTGCCCCCGGCCCCGGGAGCAGAACGCTGTCCTGCCGCGACACGTCCGCCGTCGCACGGGGAGAGGGAACGAGTGAGGAGTTGAGTCTTCCCCGGTGCCACCCGCTGCAGCACCGGGGTATTCGGCCCCGTGTCCAAGCAACCACAAATGAGAACCAGACCCCTTGGCTCGGCCGCCCGCCTTTTATACTCGGATCTCGTCGTCGTCTTCGTCAGCGAACGAGAACTCCTTGTCGGGGCGTTTCGGGGGGCCCCCTCGCTGGCTCGGTGGCCCGGGGACGGGGCTGCGCTCCTCTGGTCCCGAGGTGCAGCTGGATGCAGAACTGCTGTCTCTGGGGCAGCGGGTGCCGGCGCTGCAGGACGGGCTCTGGCTCGGCGGGGCTGACGCCGGGGAGCCGGCCAGGGCGGCATCCTCCTCCTCCTCCTCACGGCTCTCCTCCGCCTCGGGGTCTTCGTCCTGCTCCCACTGCTCCTTATCCATGATGCTCAGGACGTCCCCGAGCATGGAAGGCCCCAGGTCGATGTGGAAGGACATGATGGACTCGGCGTGCTTCATGCCCGCCCCGCTCTTGGCCACCACCACGGGCAGCTCCGTGATGTCCCCGAAGTCGCGCTCGTCCAAGCCGGGGCTCAGTGGCCCGGCGGCCGCCCCGTTTGGGCGCTGCTGCTCTTCGGGGCTCACCTCCTCGGGCAGCTTCTTGACGGGGCTGGAGGAGAGGCTCTTGGGCAGCTGCCCCGCGCTCCTGTCCACCTCCTTCTCGTTGAGCTGGGGCAGGGACACAGCGTTCTTCACGAAGAGCGCCGAGTCCCGCAGCGAACCCAGCATGTCCCGCCGGTCCCCTCGCGTCACCGACTGCGAACGCTTGCTGCTGCGGAAACGCCGGGAGAGCAAACTGGGTTTGGAGGCGCCCGGCTCCTCGCCCATCTCCGGCCCCGGCTCTCCCGCCTTACTGGTGAGGAAGGAGGTGTCCCCAAAGGCGTCCCCCGCCCGCCCCACGTGCATGGTGTGGCGGAAATCGCCCAGCGGCGCGCTGATCATCTCGGCCGTCAGGTCGGCCCGCGAACGCCGCTTGGAGTGGGCAGAGTTGGAGACGAGTTGCTTGAGGATCGGCATCGCGCCGGGGGGGGGGGGGGGCGGCCGCGCCGGAGCCGGGCGTCCCAGGGGACCGGCCGGTGCTCACAAACCGGTGCTCTGCGGCTGGGCTCCCACCGGCGTCACGGATGGGTCACTCCTAGGGGACAGGAGAGGGGGACACGGTCAAGCTTGGAGGACACGGCCCTGCCAACACCAGCCCTCACCCCATCAGGCTGTAAAACACGACCCCCCCTGCCCACCAGCCTCTCCGCCCCCCCAGGAATAGCTTCTGCCCAGGGAACGGGCCCCCAAACACCCCCCCCCCGAGCTTCCCACACCCCTGAAACGAGCAGTTCCCTGACCCCATCCATGAAGCAGACGTGCAGAAAGGACCGCAAGCGAAAAAACCTGGGCGCGGGGGGTGTTGCAGGATGGTCCCCGACCCTGTGCCCCACACGTGAACGGGCACAACGAGGGATGCAAAACGCCGTGGGCACCCACCGCGCCCTCCCCGCCGCAGCCCCAGCCCGCCGGAGCAGGGCACAGCAGCGCTCGAGCCTCTGGGAGCCGAGAAGATGCCTGGGACTTTTTTTTTTTTTTTTTTTTTTTAATTGGAAGAAAGCTGGGAGGAGCAGACGCCAGGAGGAATTGGAAACAGACGGCAGGAAGTGTGTGAGGAGGGCGTAGAGCCCCCGGGAGGCACCGCCAGCCAAGCAGCGTGCCGGGGCGGGGGGAGCCGGGATGGGGACGGGCACCCCGTGGGTACCCCGTCACGCCTAGCAGGATGGGGACGTGGGGATGCAGCCTTGCTGCCCCCCTGGAGCACCCCAAAGCCTTCCATGCCACCTCGCCATCACCGCTGTGACCCAGAGGTGGCAGAGATAAAGGCCCTGGCTGACCGGGATGCGGAGCGGCACATTCCTCCTTCCCGTGGCCACCTCGGTGCCACCGGCCAACGCGTCCAGCCCAGCGCCTGCGGCCACGCAGGAGGGGGACAAGGCCAGGGCCCACGTCACCGCATCCCGCGCTTCCCCTGGCGCCAGGCAGCCCCAGGTGGTCCCGGGAGAGGCTGCCGGGGAGGAAGGGCTCGCGGCCGCCCGCTTCCTCCCTTCGGGCACCGCCGGCGACACCGCGGCCCCGTGACACGCATGGGGAAGGGACCGACATCTCTCCTCCGAGCCGGGGCCACATCCGCTCCCCGTTGCCCACCCAGCCCTGGGTGGCTCCGCAGGAAGCAAGCCCCAGTCCCCCCCCCCCCCCCCCCCAGCACATCCCAGTCCTGTACCCGCTCAGCTGGACACTGCGAGGGGAGGTCTCCCACCCCCCTCAACCCTTCCCAAACCTGCCCCGTGATGTCCGTCCGTCTGTCCGTCCCGTCCCCCCCGCCGCGGCAGCGGGGCCTCATGCAGGCTGTGGCCGGGCTGGTCCCGTGCAGGTAGGACGGACTCTGGACCCCACACGGGTGCAAAGTCCTGGTGCCCAGCCCTCCCAGCCGGGGCAGGCATGCCCCACGGCGCTGGCGGCACCGCTCCCCACCCCGGATCCCACCACCCCACGGAGGCGGCAGCGTGAGCCCTTCTCGGCAGCGCTGCTGCCGCAGAGCCCCCGGGGATGCGACAGCACATGGCGGGGGGGGGGCTGCGATCAGGGCACCTCCCAGTTTATCCCCAGTAGCTGGGGAAGAGACAGAACAGCCATGCCGCCTTCTCTGCGCCCTCAAACCAGGAGCGGGAAGGGGGGGAAAGTCTTCCCCCCCCTTCCACACCCCACCCGAACACAGCGGAGCAGCTCGCTGGAGCCCCGCTCGCCTCGCCAGGATCTCACGCGCGCCCAGCCGAGCCTGTGTGCATGGCACAGACATTTTCCCCTTCCAAGGTCTCCTTGCAGGCCGGCATTCCTCCAGCCTTTGGTTTTACATAAAACAAACACTCCCGGCGAGCTCCCCAGCTGGGCCAGGCAACCGTGCTGCTGATTTAGGCCATCTGGGGACTGTCCCTCCCTTGTATTTAGATTTCGGGGCCAAGTTCAGCATTTGTGAGATACTTTGCAAGCCTCGGCAAAGGGGCCACCGGGAGGTTAGAGAGTTACCGGCACGCCGCCGCAGCCTCCCCGGCCAGCAGCTCTCCATCACCGTCACAGCCTCCAAACAAGCCACCGCGTCCCCCCCCCCTCGACGCTCCTGCCCGTAAAGCCTTTTTGTAGTAGCCAAAATCTCCTCCCCCCGCCCCATGCCTCGACGCTTTGCTCCCCGCTCGCCCAGAGAGGTGACGGCAGCGCAGCAGGACGCTGCTGCCCGCACAGCCCGGCTGCCGGCCTCATCCTGCCCCGGGGGGGGGAGCGGGACACAGAGCCCTTTTCTCCTCCTCTTGCTCGGGGGAGAGGAGAGCGGATCCTGTGACATTCCCACCGCCGGCACTTTCACAAAGGAAATCAGGCCAGGACGGCTTCGCCACCGCCTCTCCAGCTACCTACCAGGGAAAGCTGCTCTGTAACCCGAGAGACTTTGCAGGCAGGCGGGCTGGCAGGCAGCGCTGCCCGTCCTGGGGCAGCGAGCCCAAAGCCCGGCCAAGTCCCAGCAGGGCTTTGGGGAAAGGGGAGGGGATGGGACTTGCAAGCGCGGGTCGAGGACAAGAGGGATCAAGTGTACCGACAGACCACGCGCTGCTTCCCACCTGCCCTCTCAGCCCTTTGGGACCACGAGCTCCGAGGAGCAGGAGCCTCAGGTCCCCGGGGACAGGATTTCCCCCTGCGAATGGGGGTCTGCTTGCAGGACAGCGGGGTCCCGCAGCCGCTGCGGAGGGTGGGACAGCCCTCGGCCGGGTGCAGGGCTGGCAGCAGGATCCGCGTGCCCTGATGGTGTGGGCTTCCCACAAGAACACCCTCCCCATCACATCCCACTCAGCACCAGTCACCCACTGGGACCGGAGGCACACGTAGCTTCAGGAAAGAGACCAGGGAATGGGTGCGCGCAGGGGAAACGTCGAGTCCAGCCGCGCTCCCACGCCTCCTGCCCCGGCTCATCCCGCTCACAAGCTTGGGAAAACCAAACCCGCAGAGGGGGAAAGCATCCCGGCCGGCCTGGCCGGCTTCAAACGAGCCTCCCCCGGCTTTGCCGTGCAGAGCACCCCCAGGCGCTGCCCTGCAGCCTAGAGATCAGAGGATGCTCTCCCCACCCTGGCAGGCGCTGGGGCAGGGATGTGCTGGACCGGTCGGGTCCCCCCACGCCGCCCGGGGCCAGGGAGAACCCACACACGGGGGAAGGGAGGACACGCCGGCTGCTCAGCCCCACTTTCTGGGGCGCTGCCCCTCGGGGAATCCGGCTCGGGTGGCCCTTTGATGTCGCTGCCTGGCAGACGGCTGCCAGAGACAAGGCACAGGGTCACACCCTGCCACCGCCAGCGCCGGGAGGGGACCGTCCCGCTGTCACACCCCCGCGTCGGGCTCCCCCGGCGAGTCTTCCCAGGGCCTGGGGGCAGATGGTCCTGTTAGTGCGGGCAGCCCAGGCGCCCCGGTGACCGTCTCCTCCCCGGTGCGGGCGACAGGTCTGGTCCTGTCCCTGGCACCGGGATGCCGCATGCAGTTCAGCCGTGGGATGAGTGGAGCAGCCCCTGGAAGCCGAAAGGCAGCCGGCGGTGAGCATCAGAGCCGAGGCCGGCGAGACGGCTCACCGGGGCGGGAGGCAATGCCCGGCTCTCGCCAGGGCTATGGGCACCGAGGTGGGGAACTCGCCGCCCCAGCGGTGCCAAAAGCAGAGCGGCGTTCCCCCGAGGGACTGCCGACGACCCGGAGCCAGCCAGAGTTCAGCGAGGAAACTATTGGCAGGACACGCCAGAACACGCACAGGACCATAAATCCTCCTGCTCCAGGGCCACGAACCAGCCCGCGGCTCTCCAGGGCGAGGGGGGGGACGTTTCCAGGGGGAAAGGTTATCTCCTCGCTGGCCCCAGCTCCATCTCTCACAACAACAGGGGCCGGCCGGGGTCCGACAGGATACCGGGGCTAAACAGCCCTCCCGACCTCCGCCGGGCTCCAAATTCCTGCGGTTTTGCTGGGGTGGACGGGAAGTAAACAAGCAGGCTTCCCACGGCTTGGCCACGGCACCCTACCTGCCGGCGGGGCCCAGCACCCCCCCAGCCAGCCGGTTTGGGGCAGGGAAGGGGTGTGTGGGGGGAGTGAGGGTGGGGGGCCCCCCGCGATCGCGGCGGCTGTTTGCGCTCATGACAAAACCTGGGGAACAAAGGGAGAGACCGCCACGGTCAGCACAACGCTGGCGGCAGCGGGGCTGCCTGCGGGCAGCGGCGTGGGGCGAGCCCCACGGCCGGGTCAACCCACGGCACAGAGCCCGGTGGCTGACCCCCCGGGGATGGGGATTCGGGCCAGCTTTGCTTTCCCCCCACCCCCCCCCCCAGGACCTAAACCCACTGAACCTCCTCAGTGCTAAACCTCAGCTGGATTCGCTCCACGGTCTCCGAGGGAGCTGTGTCCAAAACAGACTTGTTTACTGTGCGCCCAGTGAGGGAGAAAGCCCCATGCTCCCTCCGCTACCTCATTCCGTGCCTCAGTTTCCCCCCACACACCCCCCCCCCCCAGACTGCTGCTGATCCCAGCTCCCTTGACAACAAGCCTCCCCGATCTATACATTCAGCACTCAGAAACATCTATACTTAACTCTGCTACCGCCGGGGTCAAATCGGGGCGGCGAGGGCTGAGGCCAGCTCCCCACCAGCGCCCCCCCACCCCCCCCCCCCCGGCTCGCCAGGCTTTGGGAGCCAACCCCATGCCCAGGCTTGCAGAATCGGGCAAGTTGCTGCTCTCCGGGGCACCCATGGGAGCCGGCGTGTGCTCCCCGGGGGTGCCCAGCATTTTGGGAGGGGGTTGGGGGGGGGGGGGGGGGGCAGCCGGGAAGCCCCGAGCCCTATTCCCAGGGTGGAAGGGGATGAGCTGGAGGGGGATTTCGGGCGGCTCTGACTCAGCACCCGCCAGCACCCAGCCCCGGCCAGCCCCGGGGTGCTGCTGGACCAGCTCCAGCGAAGGGAGGATCAACCTTTCCGAGAAGGGCCGCGGGCAGCCACCGCCCCGGCTGCGGCCACCGCCGGCCCCCGGCCACCGCAAACCCACCCACCCACCCGAAACCCACACACACACACACACACACCCCCTCCGTGGGGCTCCACGGAGCGCGGGGGCGAGCGGCCGCCGATCGCCACCGCCGGGGCGGGGTGAGCCGGACCGGTTGCCCCACGCTGGGCAAACGCGGCTTCGCATCCTGTTAACCCCTTCGCCCACCCGCGCCACGAACCGGCCCCACGGGCCGGGGGGTAAGGGGAAGGCGGGGGGTCGGGGTCATGATCTTTCCCAACCCGTTACTGGAGCGGGGGCTTGCGGCGGCCCCGGGGACCCCGCCCGCCGACCGGACAATAGCCGAGCCGTGGCCCGCCTGCCCCCCCCCCCCCCCCCGTCCCCGAACCGAGCCGGGACCATCCCCAGCGTGGGTCGAGCCCCTGCGTGGGCCGAGTCCCCCCCCTCCCTACCTGCGCGCCCGGGCCCCGCCGCCGGTCCATGGCCGAGCCGAGCCGGAGGGAAACTGCCCCCCCCCCCCCCCCACCGCGGCGGGCATGATGTCATCGCCCCGCCCGGGCCAATGGCGCGGCGCCACGTCACGGGGCAGCCCCACACCCTCCATTCAAGTAGCCCTTAGTCCCAGGCGCGGCCCCGCCCGTGGAAGTGGGGGGGGGTGGGGTGGGGTGTCCCCTGAATGGGGTCACGAGTGGGGTCCCCGACCCCCTCCCGGGCGGGGTGCAGGGATCCGCGGCGGGGGGGGGGGGGGGGCGGGGATGGATTCCAGGTCCCTTCCCTCGGCGGGGGTCCCGAGTGGGGTCCCTGGGGGCAGAGCAAGGGGCTGGCTGGACCCCTGGCAGACAGACCGGAGACTGAGGAGGTGTAGGGGGGGAGGGGGGTGTGACTGATTATGCTTAATTAAAGGGAATTAAGAGCCGAACTGAGTCAGCAAGAGGAGACGGGTTCAGCCCCCGGGGCAGCACCAGCGTCCCCCGTTCCACTCGTGACTGTGACACCCACGAGGCTGCAGCACCCCCCCTCACCCTCCCAGCTCTGTCCCCAACCAGCCCCACGGCAGCTCCATCCCCCGTGGGGGGCTGTGGGATCCCTCCAGGCTGTGGGTCGGTTGGGTGGTCCACGGCTGGGTTGCGATGGTGGGGGGCACCGTGGCCCCCCCTCGATGCTGGCGATGAGCTGAAAGGGAGAATGCAGGGCTGCACGGCCGCTCCCGGGGATTAAGGCAAAACATTTGTGGGAGAAAAGGGGCGGGAGAGACGAGATTATCCCGAATCTGCCTAATGTGGCGTTTCTTGCATATTCCGGAGCGTCTGGGAATGGAGACAAACCGGGGTGTGGGGGGGGGTGGCGAGTGGGGTCTCAGGATGCCGTGAGACCCCGGGGGTCCAGGTGCTGGGACATGAAGCTGTGGGGGACCAAAGATTTCTGAAGTCACCGCTGCAAGGGGCTGCGTTCCGCCCCCCCCCCCCCCGGTTCGGTGGTGACACCGTGGCTGCGGTGGCAGCCGGGG